GAAACACAGACATAGATGGGAGGACGATATCAATATTAACCCTAATCAAATGTAGTGTGGGTGTGTAATGTGGGTTTTCGTGGCTTAGGATAGGGCGACGTGCTTTCATGGACAGGTGAAAGAACTTTTTTTTTTGAGGGGGGCGGTGTTTCTCTTCAGTTAACTGTTAACTTGTCATGGAGATTTTTCTATGGAGTTCATTATTAAAAGAAAGTAATTTTGTGGGTTATGTAACAATGATATCTATATGTCGGATAATACAGCATCGAATGATAGGGTGGCAAGTGAATTAATAATTGAAATAAACAAAATGGAAAATCACGGAAATATCAAGTCAGAACAGCCAGTGTACAGGTAGATATTCTGACCCATGAACGGTGGAATAACATTTCAGTTTGTTGCCGCTAGTCTAACCCGTTTATTTGAGGTACAGAACAGATCTCATCTCACCCAGAGATTAAGAACTACCTTCCGATTACAGGACCTGCCAACACGCTACTCTCTTGGAGGGTAATTACACCACTTAGTCGCCTGACATACTGCGTGTACCTGACACATCTGAACTATCAGATCGTGGAGTCACGTTCTGCAAGAACTCCCATCTATCTCGCTGATTTAACTGAGGTAAACTTTGCATAAAACATTTTTTAGTCTACGACATAACTTGATAAGGTAACCTTGAGGTAGAAAAGTCTTTTACGTCCAATTACATCTCAGGTATACTCCATCCACTATAGGAACAAGGGCACGTCATCGTCTGTTACTGACGTATACAATTACGTCATCATTAGAGAGTTATTGGGTTCTATTTTCAATATGCTTGCAGTGTTTGTACAATTGCGGGAAATTCAGATATACGTTTAATTTTAAGGAATTGTTACCAACCTTCCCGAAATCTGTTGACATATGTATATATCTGCAGAGAGTCTATACGCAATGCATTTCAGCGAAGAAACCCTCATAAAGCCCTTCTGGTATAAATAATCATGTGTGAAAGAAAAATATACATATATACCATTTACATTAATTTCTTTTATACATGCCACGTTCAAATTTTTGTTATTGTGTCAGTAACATGGCCGCTGATTACCAGCAGATTGCTAGCCTAACGCTGAGGGTATACACTTGGGGTAGTCAGCAAATAGATCACAAATGGATATAAAACCCAAAACATGTGATATTTGAACCTGGCAAGAAAATATTTCTTTCGCGATATATCCTCCACAAACACTGATACACTTATAACTTTTTTATTAAGACCGTCACAACACAACTATACCAAGGTCAGTGCCTGGTTTTGGTTCTGCTACATGTTTCGGCTATTAATAGCCATCATCAGGCAAATACATGGCTAATATATAGTATACACCACTGAACTGCAGTGTTAACAAAATTGGATAGAATAATATAAATCATATTAAAATACTTGACGTAAAATACAATAAATTATTTTATATAAAATAAAAGTTATAGTATAAAACAAGAATAAAATTCTTCGATTGATGCTTTACATCANATGTTGTATTTATGTTAGCCATGTATTTGCCTGATGACGACTATTAATAGCCGAAACATGTAGCAGAGACAAAACTAGGCACCGACCTTGATATAGTTGTCTTGTGACGGTCTTAATAAAGAAGTTATATATTTTAACACAGCAGCATGCATGAAATGAAAACCGATAAACTTGTCCCATCGCCTTACAAACCCGTAGCACAGAAGTCTTTGGCTGTTGTCTCTGCCACTTTCGCACCTCCGTTTCAAACTCTTCGTCGTTAGCGAAACATTTAGGACTAATGTGCAACCGCTTTAACTCACAAACACATCCCACCGTTAGCAGGAAACATTTCTTTAAGATTTTCCTTTGCAGTGAGATCTTTTGTTCATAAAAAGAGCACAACAGAACGATTCTCTTCGGTACTACACCCCAACACCGTCCCCATTTTGACTACTGAAACCATTCTCTGAACATGTGCATGCGCGTATGCTACCTAGATTCTCATGAAACTGGACAATGCTGCTACCTAGTGACACACCTAGAAAGTATATTACATGAATTATAGCCGTTTAACTTCCATTTGTGACCTATTTACTGACTTTTCCTCGTATTCAGGAAGCTCAGGTTAGAGAGGAACGAAACAAATTCCATCTACAAGCAAAATGCAAACTGAAGATGGGCCACAAGGAGAGATTTAAGATTCGTAAGGCTCCATCGGTGTGAGATCTGAGTCATCAGGTAGGAATAACTGAGATTGGGAGGAACACATTTACCTGAAGAAGGCGGTGTTGTTGTGCCCTGATAGGGGGCATGGACTGTACTCACCCCCTATCGGACGTCCGTGGATATCTCTTAACTTACGTTGTGGAAAGCATGCTTCACTGGGAGGGTCACAAAAACTCGAGTTGTCCAAGAAACAACAAAAATGAAATATATATAATAAAATTGAAACACTTATACACCTCTACCGTCTAAAACACATTAAACCACGAAAATAATTTAAACCAAAAGTTCTACTAAGCCATCAGTGACCCGACCACCGACAAGCACTCACCCGCGCTAAACATGAAGCACAGGAAGAACAATGGCGCCATCCCAAGGTCTTCCGCAGGCACACTTTGCTTTTTCTCGTTCGTTTCTGGCAACTGCTAGAAACGGAGTGCCTGAAATGGCCTCTTTTCTCAATCCCAAGATTCAGCTTTTTCTCAATTGCGAAAGCTGCGCGTGCGAAATCCCTGTGGTCGGCATCTTGCCGGACATGCCTTGTCGCGCGAAGCGAAACCCGACCGGGTCTTTCCGCTGATGCTTAAACAGTCTTTTCTAAAGACAATTCGCTCGACTGCCAAGGAATGCGAAGAGTCAGCCGCGGTTCTGTCTCCTCGCCTTCCGGCCAGCCGTCTAACATTTCAACCTAAACACACAATCTTACAAAAGTTACCTAATAACTAATAAAATGGGCTCAACAGTGTATCGCTGTAAAATGTTGGTAACCAACTACCAGTCTGCACGATGTCATAACCCAAATGACTGTGTGATTTTAACTGTAGTAAATTGGTCTGATTCTCAATTTCATCGACAATTTATATTAAATTAGTGGGGGGTTCTTATCGCGGTGAATATCTGGAGCACTGCTTTCTGGGATGATATTGTGTAGTCCGGCAGGAATTCAATGGCGTTTCGAAGGAATGTACTGCCTCCATCTTCAGAGTAGAAGATGCTAAGAAAGCAACGAGGAAGAAACAAACAGCAAGCAGGATTTAGCTCAGTGGATAAGCAAATGCACGCCTTCAATTTGCTGCTTACTTCCGGTTGGTTGTTGGCTTAGTGTATATTAGACTCAACCTCTAATAGGAACGGACACCAGAAAACTTCCTGGTGGTTATGGGCGGCCGGTCGGCGCGTAAGCCTGACAACTTCACCGCCATCTGTGAGCCGATTGTCTAGAAAACGTGAGAGCCTCGACGTCTCACAAATCTATGGGTCTCTACGGCCTGTTACAGGGATAGCTTTAGCTTTTTAATATTTGTTGTGACGCCACTTCATTTCTTGTGTTTCAGTTGCCAAATTTCCTCTCTGACGTCATAATTTCGCTGATACTGGCCGCCATTCTCTCTTTAGGCTTTGAAGCTCCGGCAATAAATCTTGAGAAGCATCTTCTGGGAAGAGGTAAATTGCATATTTGAAGTAGGCCACGCCCTCTTCCTTTCACTGCCGCTTCAATTCATAACGTATTATAATTGTACCGTTTGACGCTATGATTATCTCAGACCCAAAGCATAAGCAAGAAACATTCTCTGCTTTTCATAATTGCCTTCTTCCTTTTCCTTCTACTCTCTCATGTTTTCTTCTTATCTTCATACACCCTCTTCTTCTCCCCTTTTTCGTCTTATCGTCCTATTATTATCCTCGGTATCCTGCTTTTCGGTCATTGTCCTGACCGGCACGACACAAAGTTCAGCATGTGAACTACTAACATCGTCGTTAAGGCCCGTAGGGTTGTGAGACGTCGAGGCTCTCACATTTTCTCTAAACAATCGGCTCGCAGATGGCGATAAGGTTGTCAGCGTTACGCTCCGGCCACCCTTTACTCCCATGAATATTCCTGGTACTCATTTATCTTAGAGTCTGAGTCGACTTCAGGGCCATAGTTCGGCTGGGAGGATTAGGTTAATTGAAAAATCCAATGACCTCACTGGGATTCGAACCCGCGACCCTCTGCCTTGTAGCACAGTGCCTCAGCCAACTACGCTATCGCGTGCCCCACAATTGTTTTGTATATATGGACCAATTTTGGCATGATGCTAGAGGACCTCCCTGGGGATACTATAAATATTTGAATTCCCTCAGAAAGGTTTGGACACCTACAGAAACCAGTTCTCTGAGTATTGTTCAGAAATTGTTAGTTCTAGCGTAAGAAGGATTCCGAGTCTTATAGAATATAGAGTGGGGAAACGCGGTAGCGTAGTTAGTTGAGGCCATATTCTACAAGTCGGAATTGCGCGGGTTCGTTTCGTAATGAGGCCATTAAAATTTCAAACGATATAATTCTTCCAGCCGCCCCCCCCTGGCCCTTGGGCCGCCTCAGCCTCTAACAGAAATGAGTTCCAGGAATATTCTTGGGTGTAAAGGGCGGCCGGTACGTAAGACTGACAACCTCACCGCCATCTGCTAGCCCATTTTCTTTAAAATGTGGGAGCCTCGACGTCTCACAACCTTATGAGCCTGTTAATAGAAGAGCTTTACCTACAGCTTATGAATACAGAGAGATACTTTGTTTGCTCAAAATGCTTGTCTCTTAGAGTTTTAAGTTATTATTTGTAATGAAATTGATTACTTAATTTCTTTAGAAAACTACTTCTTTATTTAGTTTATTACACACCGTAACTGTAGGTGTGAATTCCCCCCCCAGCAACACCGGGTACTTCTTTAGCTGTCCTGCAGTACACACATTTCTTAATTTTCATATCCCTTCAGGGGCTAATTACTACAGCTCTTTTACGAAACATCGGTTGAAATATTTCTCTTCTGTTTATTTTTACAGGCAGGAAGACTAAACAAAATATCATTGAAGAAGCGTCCCCACAGAAACAAGAAGGAAGTGACAAGGCATACACAAATAAACTGACGGAAGAGTCAGTTGCTTTAGAGGAAGGAATTCACAACATTACTGAAGTGGTTGTGAAGGACCCGCGGGAAGATAGGATGGGACATCAGAATAAGGAATAGGAAGGAAAAGAAGGGGCACGGAAGAGACGCAACGGAATGCGATACGTGACGAGGACCATGAAGACGGAAGCAGTGTGTTCCTTCGAAATTTCAACTAGACTTCATGGCATAACATCCCATGTAAGACAATATACGTCAAGGCATGTGAGGTTTTATGAACTTCTGGCATGTAATACCACGTGTCCTGGTACATATTTACCTTTCGAATCATCGGTAAATATCTTAGCAGGCTACACGGCGTCAGATCCCGGAAGATTGCAATCTTCAAAATCCCCACTGTGAGAACCTTAGATCTTACAAAACTGGCGACATTTTGAGGTTTTTGGATGGTGAAAAAATTTAAAAATTGAATTCTTTTAGAATTTTTTTTACATTTTATACAATTTGATGTAGGAAAGTTACCCGATAATTTGTTCCTCCCCACAATATTACCTTTCTGGCCAGTCTTTTCGTATCCTCATGATGTCTCCCAGTAATTGTCTCAACCATAGTATTCTGGGTAATGAGATCCGTATTTTATCTTTATATTTTATTTGTGGGCAGTCTCATAAGTGTCCTTGAATTTTCTCTTATGTGTATTTTTACTTGTCCAAACAATTGCAATAACATCTGTTTCAATCATGCAAATAAAATCCCTACTTCTCTAACATTGTGTTTGTAACTATGTCCCTTTTTGTTTGACCCTTAATTGTTCTCATACATTGCTTGTAATTCTGGTCTCTTTGTTTCGATATTACGTGTTAGTAATCACTTAAATAAATCTCGTATTCCGCGGTTGTGCCTTGTTTTATGATTTCTCTGTTCCATAATATCCCCTTTCCCCATCAGAGTGGCTGCGCGGTTTAAAGTATGAACAATCTTCACTCGAAGGTTGGGATTGTGGTTCTGTGTGTAGGTAGCGGCCTTGCGACAGGCTGATCCCCCGTGCAAGGGATCTTATCGAATGTGTATAGGATTAAGAAAGCGAAAAAGCGGTGGAAATCCAACTAAAGAAGCGTAGAGTGGAACGTAGATGATATGTTTTACTAATTAAATTTAGGTACTTACATAGCGTTCTCTCTATCGACACTCCCTTCTGAGTTTTCTTCACTCCCTAAATAAATTAATCAGTTCCCGCTTGCTTAATTCACTTTTAAAAACGTACATTTTAAGTTATGACACTAATGCCACTTAATTATTGCATCCCAATGTCTATAGACATAGCCGGTCCCGGTAGCCGAGCGGTCTAAGGCATGCACTGTCTTCGCTCGTTTGGAAACCGGGATCGTGAGTTCGAATCTCACTCAGGGCATGGATGTTTAGTTTGTGTGTGTGCGTTTTTCCTTGTTTGTGTACAGGTAGAGACCTTGCTACGAGCTGATCACCCGCCCAAGGAGTCCTACCGAATGTGTGTAAGATCTAGAAAAACCGAAGTGAACGGAGAAGTTCATGGAGGTAGGCCTAGGCCCACTGGGGCTGTAGTGCCAAGGAAAAAAAAAAGTCTAGACAGAGGCAGTGAAGACGGAAATTGTTTACTTAATAACCGCTAAGAGAATGGAGTGAACTCATTATCCTAATCAGATAATGTGGGTTAGTGTATAAGGATGTGATATTAAGTTCAAGGTCATTTCAAACGATGCTTTAGATGTGGAAGAAGGAAGTGCGCGGCTTGCTGGGTTATCATATGCTCTGTAATGAAAGTAGGACGTTTTCCTTTACAATATATTTTCATAGATTATTATTTTGTTTAAGGAACGACGTCAATGTTTATATTAAAATTATCTTATTCATAGTGATAAGTTATAATAAACATAATTTCATTACTAGTTGATGACTCTTTTAGCAGAAGACGAACTTCATCGAATGTTTAGTTCTTACAACGAAGACAAGGCCAGATTCCTGGGAGAGCTTGCTCATGTACAACTTAAACAAGAACAAACACAATCTCTCAACAAACAATGAGAAATTTTCAATCAGCATCGCGTGAACATTTCAAATTTCCTACTCTGAACACGTAAATATACTGCTAATTAGCGAAATATTACCTAATATTGTACAGGATGTTCCGAAAAAAGGTATCCAAAATAAAATAATTATATCTCAGAAAATTTTTCCTATACACATTTAGGTTTACACCATTACAAAGGGACACTATTAAAGTTTTTTGAGTATACGAGTATAACTTTCTCAATAAATTTAAATGAGGGCTCCCTTGATGGTAGGACAAATATCCAGGCTTGAAGCATGTTTGGTGTTACCGTAGCAACAGCATCCCTTATGTGGACTTTCAGGTGTTGAACTTCGTTGAACTTAACCTGGCAGACAATGTTCTTCACGTAACACCCCGCCCCCCCCCAAATAAATCCACTGGGGTTAAATCTGGCGACCTAGAAGGCCAAGCGATTGGTCCACTTCTACCGATCTATCTCCAAGTCATCACTCTGTCCAAGTGATTACTAACATGATAGCAGAAATGTGACGGCGCCCCATCTTGTTGCAGGATAGTCTGAGGTGGTAACTGGGACAGCGCATACTTCTCAAACATGTCCAAGTACGAACGTCCGGTCTCAGTCTTTTCCGAAAAGAAAAACGTTCCAATCAGCCAGTCGTTGCAGTCAGCCGGCACACACATTCACATTGTCTCCAACCCACATGTCACATGTAGATGTTGACTGCTCAAAATCCTGCAGTTGTACCTGTTTACAACTTCACTGACATGGAACGTCGCCTGTTCCGAGAAGCGCACTTGGCGGAGGAAATCGGGTGACGCATCAGTTCGTTCTAGCATGTCCACAGCGAAGTTTGTGTGTACTACTTGGTAACTCGGTTTTAGTGCATGAACCATTTGAATCTTGTACGCTCTTAGGCGAAGCCTTTTGTGTAGCTCATCGCCCACTGTTGAACTTGGAATTTGTAGGTAACTGCAAGCTAGCAACACGAATTTATTTGCACGGACTTCGCTGGAATGCCTCTCAAATGCGACTGATATTTTCTTCAGAGGTCCGTGTCTTTCCAGGAGATTTTACATGCAACAGACTACCTGTTTTCAGAAAACCGAACGCTTTTCCGTGTAGGAGATTGAAGAATGGAAGATATCTGGTTCGAATCTAGACTGATACATTACTGACTATAAGAATAAATATTCTCTTTAGGCTCTTCCAGAGGAAATAATTACGATTATGTCCGTATACAAATCAAAAGCACAACAATTCAAATCTTGTTTAATAATATTATTGATAATAATAATAACGTGAGAAAGAATTAAATGGAAATAATACAAACATTAATAAAGGAATAAAATTTTCGTAAATTTCTTGACAAATCATTACAAGTAGAAACCATATTTATTTGGGGCACGCGACAGAGTAGTTGGTTGAGGCACTATGCTACAAGCCAGAAAGTCGCGGGTTCAAGTTCCGATGAGGTCATGGGATTTTTTCAATTCAACTAATCCTTCCAGCCCCACTATGGCCCTGGGGTAGACTCAGCCTCTGACAGAAATGAGTACCAGAAATATTCTTTGAAAATTCTTGGGGGTAAAGGGCAGCTGGCGCGTAAGGCTGACAAACACACCGCAATTTATAAGCCAATTGTCTAGAACATTTGGGAACCTCAACATCTCACAACCCCATGGGCCTCCACGGCCTGTTACAGGGATACCGTTACTTTTTTTTTAACCATATTTATTTAAAAGTTCGACTCTAAATGATTCCAAGATCACCTAATTAAGATATGGATATCCTGTTTCGAGACACTCTGTATACTGCAAAAGTGTATTTACATATATAGTTATACCTATTATCACAATTTTCTTAGGACTGAGCATTAAGGCGTATTCTTTTCTTCTTTCTCAGCTCTACAATCCTTCATGGGCTTATGCAACATGTTTAGGGGGTAGTGGAAATAAGGGAGTGCCACAAATGTGGGTCCCCAGATGACGTAAAAATGTCTTACGATCGAATGTGTTTATTAACAACTATGAAAGTAATTATAGGAACTCTTTTTTTCTGTTTCAACCTCTCCAACAAGTGACGTATTGTTAACCCAACCTTACATAACATCCTTGCACAAGTCAACATTTTTATTTTAATATAATTTTTAATATCGCTTTTACATATTTACAGTTTAAAGCTTCTTTTAATATTTAATTCAATATTTTACATTTTATTTTTCAAGACAGACTCAACATGAAACATTAATTACAATTAATTTCAAAATAAATCCCATTTACAAGTTTTGTAGTTTTATAATTTCAAGTGGCCATTTAGTGATAGAAACATATATTTCTAATTACTTCTGTAAGGATGAGGTTTGTGTGACTGTGTATGATATTTATTTGCAAGTTTATATCCACTTTTAGTAGATAAATCATTAGAAAAATTGCAATAAATCCAAGTACATGATGATAAACTTCGGAGTACTGACTAATGTACGATTAAAATTAAGCCAAGGTTAAAACCGAGAAGTAAGAATATGGTTATCGAAATATATTCGCTGCAAGCAGGATTCTTCAGCTGCCCGTATAAGGAAATATCTGCATACGAAGCGAGGACAGTTGAACTCTTGATTCGATACAGTATCATTTGTCAGAGATAAGGGATTTTATGTGTGAGCACAGTAAATGAACAGCTTTAAGAGATGGCTGCAATTAGGTTAGTGTACGCGAAAATAATAATTTTCTCCTGCTTCATACATCAGATGTTGCCAAATGAAAACAGCGACGTCATAGCAGAATCCGGGCATAAGTTTTGGTTGCAGTCACTAATTGGTAACGAAGAAATAATTCCGAAAGTAACAAGTCTAATTGAAGATTGTATTGCGCCGATTTTAAAAAATTCTACGAATATTTTGTGTAGGAAACACAGTGACATATATATGGATGGATTAAGAAACGGTACACCATGGGCTTACCACAGTGAGTAAATATATTTTTAAACTTTCTTATATTGTCTATATAAGACATTTTCGAGATCACGTAATACCGTGAAATGGTGGCTCTGGTTCCATTTTAAGTTGAAAATTGAAAATAATAACTTTATAATTATGTTATAATGATATTGCATTTTAGCGCCCTCTCGCATTAATGTATCATGTTATACACTTCCATCTTTAATTCAACTTTGTTTACAATTTCTTCTTAATTTAAAATAATATTAAAATGGTAATTAACTGCGAGAGCACACCCAGGTGAACATGAAAACAGCCACGATATATAGGTTAGGAAGAAAATCATCCTATAAAATTATCAGAATCATCAGAACTCGAGGAAATTAATAATAACAACAACAACGTGCTGAATACTGTTTGACCCAGTGCACAGTGCAGTAGGCTGCTTTAAAAGATACGTTGCCTGAAGATGGCCCTCTGTGGCTGAAACATGTAGCATAAACACCAAATGTACATCTAGTTTAACGAAATTTTAAATATTTAACGAACTTTTAGTGAATTAATTGTGAATTAATGTTGTTAAATTAATATTGTTGCATTATAGAGAGAAAACAAGACTGTAAGGTAGGCCACACACCGACATGCGTCAAGACATGTAACAGTCAAGACACGATGTCTGTGACATGACTCAGAGGAAGTAGCACATTTGAAACGAATGAGATTATGAAATCCGCCGCACACCGGCCTGAGTCATGATGCTGACGTCAGCTTCATGCTGAATGTTCCTTTTCTGTACGTCAAGACTCAGACATCAATACTGAAGGAACAGAACCAGTGTACGTTATTTACATGACGTCATGTCATCAACTAGAGAAGATGTGATAAGACGCAGACGCGTGCTACTTCGGTGTGCGGACTCGAGTCTGAATCACGAATGAAGCATGTCGCTCGTAAGCAACAATGACTGTGCTGGCGAGGACAACACGAATTTACCTGATCCAATATAAGTTGTCCATTGACTGAGGTTCGTTTTTTCTAATGGACCCAACACAATATATGTTTCTCACACCCTCGCCTGAGGATTCAAACAGATCCACTTGCCATAGCTTCGTGCTCTTCATAATATTGAACGATGGATGAGCCCAAAAAAACCCAGTAACCCTGAGATTTCTCATTTTTTTAGGAAAGAATTCTAAACTCGATACCCAAGGCCGACGAGAAGACGCGAGCACCACGCGGCCTTCAATTGCCCGCACATTGCTGGAAAATTAGTTTCATGCAGTCTCCTCTCCTCGCTGTGGGCAACAAATTCAGCGCGTTTTGTACAACGACGCAAACAAAATGTGTTCACGCTTACTGTATCAACGTCACTGCTTTAGACATATATTCGGGATGTGCTGTGTTCGAGTCTCGGTTATTTTCCTAAACATTAAAAAAAATTGTTTTTATAAAGGAGAAGAATTTTTTTCTTGTGAGGCAAGGGTGTGCATTTTAAAATAGTATTTGAGGGTGTTGGGGAGCATATTTGGACCGAAGAGAGATGAAGTGAGAGGAGGTTGAAGAAAACTGTATAATGAGGAGCTTCATAACTTGTACTCTTCTCCAAGTATAATTAGAATGATCAAGTCAAGGAGGACGAGGTGGGCAGGGCATATAGCAAGAATGGGGGAGACGAGGAATGCGTATAGGATACTGGTGGGAAAGCCAGAAGGAAAGAGACCACTCGGAAGACCAAGAAGTAGGTGGGAGGACAATATTAAAATGGATCTTAGAGAGATAGAATGGGATGGTGTGGATGTGATTGATCTGGCTCAGAATAGGGATCAGTGGAGGGCTCTTGTGAACACGGTAATGAACCTTCAGGTTCCATAAAATGCTGGGGAATTCTGGAGTAGCTGCAGAATTGGTGTCCTCAGGTCCATAAGTAAGTAAAGGGGAATAATCTTTTTTTCTTATGAGGCAGCGAAATGAATTTTAACACAGCATTTTGTAAGAAATTCGTGTTGTAATATACAGACAAAATTGACAACGGAAAGAGAGGGAGAGGGAAGACAAATAGAAAACAACAAACAAAACAAATGAAATGGAGCGGTATTTGTTTACTTGCGTCTATTAACATACGTGGTTTTGTATAATAGATAAAGATACCACAGTGACATAATTAAACAGTAAATTTCGCATCTTTTGATGGAGAGTAGTCAAGGAGAACCCAATATTGACGGCTTATGATAATTGTTATTAATAAATGCAATTACTCTGCAGGCGGTGGGCACGCGGTAGTGTAGTTAGTTTAGGCACTATGCTACAAGCCGGAAGGTCGCGGGATCGAATTCCGATGAGGTGACTCGATTTTTTCAATTGACCTAATCCTTCCAGCCACACTATGGCCCTGGGGTCGACTCAGTCTCTAACAGAAATGAGTACCAGGAATAGTCTTGGAATATTCTTGGGGGTAAAGGACGGCCGTCACTTAGGACTGACAATCTTGCCATCTATGAGCCGATTGTCTAGAAAATGTGGGAGCCTCGGCGTCTCACAACCCTATGGGCATCCACGGCCTGTTATAGGGATACCTTTTCTTATTTAGTTACACTGCAGGCAATTCCCACAACCTCCCTTCGCTCTTGATAGGATAAAACATAATGTTTATCTATTCTTCCAAATTAAAATTTAGTGACTTACAATGTCCATAAATATTTAACACGTTGAGCAATATGGGAGTTTCTAAGGTGGAAGGTTCTAAGAATAAGGATTTTTGGGACTTGGCATTGTGCAATTTGATAGTTTGCAACTGTTCGGGAGAAACTTCTGCGTCTATCTTCAGGGTATATGAAGTGGCAGACGAAGGCAACACGTTCCTACAAATCATTGGTAAATATACACCAAACCCTAAGACGTCACATTCCAGAATTTTGCAATATTAATGCCCAAATTTGTCTTCAGTGTTGATATTTGATATTATGATTTCAGTGTTAGATTCTACAGCGAAACTTGAAGCTGGAATCCTGATGGGGAATTTGGTCTCAATGGGGAATTTTGACGAATGCATTGGCGTGACTGACGTGCAGACAGATTTGGGTCCGTTTCATGGCAAACATTGCCTGGCAAGTTTGACGTGGGAAAATGATACATTTCTTTCTACAAAGAAATTATTCGATTTAATAGAAGTGGTGAGTGTATAGGTTTTATTGGATCCATACCTTTACAAGGAGAAATTTTACCACACAATGTTTTTCTCAGCTTCTTAATATTAACAACAAACACTACTGGGTACCTGTAGGTCGGTACAGAACACGACTGCTGTAGGAAAATACTAGACAATTACATTTACTGCAGCTGAAAGATGCGATACAATTTAAGATACGATTTCCACTAACCAAAAGAAGTCCATATCAGCATGCACCCGGAAATATTTATTTTATAGTTACTGCTGAAAAAATGCATGAGGTTGCTCCTGCACGTTTTACCCATTCTGTGTGGGCTGTTCTCAATAATATCTATCACTGACAGGCAGAGGAAGACCCGCTGCATGGCCTCCACCCTCGCCTGACTTCAATCCTCTGGACTTTTACCTGCGGGGACACCTAAACGCCCTTGTGTATGCAGCTCCTGTTGACAACGAAGTGGCTTATGAATTGTGTATTGGATCAATCCGTCCCGAATTATGTCACGATTCAATGGATAATTTGTAGAAAGGAGGCTCTATTAACCGCTCTGTACAGTTTTTTTTAGAAAGAGAAAAGGTTCAAATAAAAAAAAATAATTTTGAAAACTCTAGTATAAACAGCGAACATTGGAGCTCTTATTATTTTTTTCCCTTGACACTACAGCCCCAGTGGGCCTAGGCCCACCTCCATGAACTCCGTTCACTTCGGTTTTTCTAGATCTTACACATTCGGTAGGACTCTTTGGGCAAGTGATCAGCTCGTCGCAAGGCCTCTACCTGTACACAAACACAGAAAAACGCACACAAACATCCATGCCCTGAGTGGGATTCGAACCCACGATCCCGGCTTCCGAGCGAGCGAAGACAGTGCATGCCTTAGACTGCTCGGCTACCGTGACCGGCTTGGAGCTTTTATACTGACTGTTTTTAGTTATTAATCATTAATTATCCGTCAGTTTTTAACATCAGATAACTTGGAGGGAATATATATATATATATATACAAATATATCTATATATATATACATATAAAGTGACGGAAGAAAAATATGCAAAAAAATTTTATCTGACAGTTAAGAGATGGCGGAACATTGTCAAACGGAATTCTGATTTGATAACCTCCCCTTGGTTTTTAAAAAGGGTTCGGTTCCCGATGTCACTTGATATTTTAAATGACGTAATGCTTCCAAGGGTCGGGATAGCTCAGTCGGTATAGCGACCGGTTACCAAGGGGTCTCAGTTCTAGTTCCAGTGGGGCATGTCGTTCAGACCGAGTATGGGGCTCACCCAGCTTCCTATCCAATTGGGACCGGGGGCTTTTCTCCGGGGGCAAAGCGGTCGGGGCGTGTAACTGCCCATTCACCTCCTACTAGTACCGAATTCAAGAAAACGTGAGCCTATACATCCACTCCCCCATACATCTTCATGACGTAATGCTTAATTAGTTAAGCACAGTGACAACTTTGCCTTACCTTTATCTAATCCTTCCAGCCTGGGGTAAACGGCCGGAACTTAAAACTGACAACCTGGCGCCATCTGTGAACCAACTATCTAGAAGATGTAAGATCTTCGACGCTTTAGAACCCTATAGGTCTTCACGGCCTGTTACGGGGATAGTTACCACATATCAGTTTTTAAAATGATATATCCTTTTTAATATTATATTCTCATATTTAATTTTACGAAGGAAGGAAAGGGTTTCTTGTGCCAAGGAGCTGCTTTCCACACCAACATTCGGTTACTTTGACAAGTTATATTGATTTGTTATTGAACAGCCTGGCGGTTCAAATTCAGTCACTATTCAGTGGGGATTCTGCATTCCGTCGACGTGTGGCGCTGAAGACATGAGAGCTGGGCTGAGTACCGTACTTCACCGTGACGTCACGGTTACCCTTAGCGAGCTGGATTGTCACACCAACGAAGGGAAGAAACTGAAAATAATCGACTACGTAGCAATGTAAGAAAAGCCAATTATGGATATGTAACGTTGATTTATTTCGAGATTTTAGATTCTGGCAACGGTGAATACTGAAATTACTGGTCCTCGGGGATGTGAGCCGTGTTCCGCTTTGTCAGAATCTTACAGCATGGAATGGGAGGAAGGTAAGTGGATGATGAATTGGAAAAATTTGGAAGTAAAGAAACGCCTTTTAATCGAAATATTATCCCGGATTTTACAAGAAGGCACTGTGCAAAATAACTAAAAACATCGGAGACGATTTCCGGTGTTACTGTCTATGTGTCTGGAGAGACACCATTTCGTGATCCATTCAGGACGCCATCTTGTTTAGTAAATAATACCAAATAGAATCTAAAGGGTTCTGACGATGGTGTATAATATTAATAATTTTTAAGTTTTTGGACTTTGTCTGTCGTCCAGTGTTCTAAAACTAGAAAAAGTAACATTTCGGAAATTGGATCTGTTTCCGTCCTCAGGTGTAAGTGGCGGGAAGACATCTGTTCAGTTGTATGCCTTAGAAAGAGCTAACCTTAATCAGTGGACAGTGCTTTTTCTGCTTTCTAGAATACCGGACGATGAACAAAGTCCAAAAACCCCATAATTCTGAAGATTATATCAAGGTTTTGGAGGAACTTGAAGGGCTCATCTTCATTGACTATTCACTTCAGTTAAACACATCAGATCTCACATAAATTTCATAATTCTGGAAAACAATTCGTGGTGGCTTCTTCGTGTTTACTCATATGAAACAGGATTTTAAATTCCAGACATAAGATTTGTTATTTTTTAATGCATATAATTTCACTTTGTGCTATTATTGTGTATTATTCATGAACACAGAGAAAATGGAACTGTTCATTTCTGTTCTCGGTCAGATCAGTGGTTATCCTGAGTTCTTTCGTGATTTCCTCAGTCACTACACAAGAAATATAGTGATATAATCTTGATTAGACAACCGTCACTTTCTTTCAAATACTTTTCATTTTATAATTCATCTGCCTTCCTTCAAATCGACGCTATGTTTTGCATAATAAAGACATAATCGTAAAACAATCCACTTCGTGTCTTGAAGTCTCATGTATGCAAACTGCGGTGATTGTCAAGTGCGTAGTGAACTGATAAAGGTTTTGATAATAGTGCCATTAAATTGTCACTCTCATGTGCAATAAATAACGTGCAGAGATATGTATTCAGTGATGCTCAACTCCTGATGACGAAATCTTGTTTGTTTCAGTGCGGTGTTCGTCACATTTGGGCTGTCGGTGATTCTCAGCACATCGTATGACCTTTTGAAGAAAGGTAAATGTAACGCGATGTAACGGGTCTCTCGTTACCCAATGCAGACATCAAGAATTCATCACACATAGAGATGAAAAACAGGACACAGAGATTCTTTCCTTCTATACATTTTTGCAGTATTTGTTGCAATTGTTTGTATTCTCTGTAATTGTTGTAGTTGTTAATCGTATTTGGTTTGTATTCATTGTGGTAGGATGTCCTTATTGTTGTGTTTTGTGTATTGTGTTTTGTTTGAACGTGTTGTCACTTAGTGTAATGTGTGTTACTTGTCTGTTGTGTCCTATTGTGTACTACTGCCACCGGGCTAAAACCCAATTGCAGTATAATAAATAATATATATATATTATATATATATTCTTATGCTGTTATCCTCATTACTCTTTCTAACAATTCCACATTTATTTTTATTCTTCTGTTTTCTCTTTCATTCCCTTCTTTTTTAATCTCATTTCTTTTTTCTCTCTTTCTCAGGTCTTTTTCTCCAAGTTCCTCCCCTTCATCCTCTTTCATTTTCACCTCTCTTCCTTCTATGCGTATGTAACCCACTATAGCAAGGCCGCGCCATAGCTCAAGCGGTTAGTCGCTGGCTTTCCACTTCGGTCGCCCGGGTTCGATCCCGGGTCTGGTCAAGTGGGATTTGTGGTGGATAAAGTGACGCTGGGGAGGTTTTCTCCGAGTATTTCGGTTTCCTCTGCCAATCTTCATTCCATCAATTGCTCCACAATCACTCTCACCTATCATCTGGGGCTGGTACAATAGGCCAGAAGTGACTGCAGTACAAGGGACTTAGTCCCACCCCACTAGCATTAAAAGAAACCACTACAGCATCCTTCCACATCCCTTCCATTCATCGTTCATCATCATCCAAATATTCGACTCTATGAAATTTGAGTTACTGGCTTCTTCGTGAAATGAACTACAAATAAAACATTATTTCCTGCCCTCCTTCTTTCACCGCATATTTCCTATTCTACTTCCTCATTCCTCTTTCCTTGTTATTCCTTCTCCAATTTATCTTCCAACTCATGTCCTGACTCACCCAATTTTTGCCTTCAGAATCTCACATTTGTTTCAGGTCGCGGGAAACAAATACTTATCTCATTTTCGTTGTATACCAACGGTAGAAAATTGCTGAGTACCAAGGACTCGCCAGAAACCCTGACATGTCTCAGTGGTATCCGTATCCTGAGTATCTGTTGGATCGTACTGGGGCACAGATACTTGTTGTCCATGAATGTGCCATCTATCAACGCCATCACCGGATATGGGGTAAGATTAATTGTCTAGTGCATAGGCTGTGAACTGTACAGAGGCAGCCTCAAAAAACAATATGAGAAACCTTCACAACGATAAAATATCAGTAATATATTTAAATTATAATTACCATCATTTAAGAGGAATATACTGTCCCTAAAGTCAATGCTAAACTTATATTACGACCGATAGCCTGTGTTACTGCCAAGCCCTATATAGGACCCAAAACTAGATTTTTGTTAAATGCCCTGCAGTTGAGGATTTGTTGATGTGGGGCTCCCTCTCTGATGAGACTACAGGTCTGTTGTTTACAGTTGCTGCTGGTCCTCGCCAGCACAGTCAATCTTGGGTTAGAGTTCCTCGGTGGTCATGGACATATTTTACTGTCTCATATTCGAGATTCCTCGCATCTGAAGGGCCAGGTCCTCGTGTTTATATATCCTAGGAACAGGGTCACCCAGTTATACCCCCCAGGAATCGGGTTCCCTTTCCGTCGTCTTCTGCAACTCTCAGTGTTACGGTGCAGGTAGTCGAACCCACTTCCACGCTGGAAAGACCGTATTCAGCTTCACTAAAGAGAGGGGTGGAAGTGGCAATCCCCTTCGAAAGGATAGTACTTAATTAAACAGCTTCAGAATTCAAAACCCTGAAGAAACTCATGAAGATCTCCAAATGAGCACAATGCTCAATGAAATAAAAAAGTGCAACACCAAATATTTAAGACAAAAAAAACACACTAATGCACTCGCAGTGAAACCTACTAGACAATACCGAAACTACACACAGACTGAAAAGATATATCGTCCTAACTCTACCAGACAGACCTGAGTAAAACCCCAATACCTAAGTAAACAAAAGAAAGTACGGCTATATGAGTTAGGCCACTGGGCATAAAATATTCACGAGCATTTACATATTGAACATATATATATACATTTATTGTAGATTCTGCGTATTATGTATAATAAGTGCAGGAAAACAATTAAAGAATATTACACTAACAAAATGAAATGTTTTTCATTGTAGTTTATCAGCGACTGGAGTACAATGGTGATAATTAACAGTGTTCTGGCTGTTGACACTTTCCTACTTGTAAGTGGACTACTAGTAGCTTATGGGCAGCTCGGCCATGTGGACCGACGCCAGAAGTTTTTAAATGTGCCCTTATATTACCTGCACCGCTATATCAGGTAATGAACAACATTTAACAAATTAAATCTTGTTAATGCCGTTAATAGAAATAATCAAATGTTGTTTTGACGATCAAAAGAAACGGTAAAAATATCTGTGTGGGTAAAAATGTTGAGTCTTTGGACGAAAAATCAGGTGTTACATAAAGTAACCATTTTGCTTCAAAGGGTTAATCCAGTTCAGTAATTTTCAAGCTTTTGGATCTAGTGATCCATCGTTCATTTTCTCAAAATCTTTTGTTCTATTGCAGTAAAGTGCAAGCGTTTCTTTTCCTGCTTCTTTATAATTATTCACATATTAATCATTAATGTAAGGTCTTATTTTTGGGGCCTAACATGTCATCTAGCTGAGTGATAGATCCGACCAATAGGATGAGTTTCACCGGTTCAGAAGCACTGATATATCAAACATTTTACTTACTTTTCTTTTTTTGCTAGTGGGGTGGGACTAAGTCCCTTGTACTGCGGCCACTTCTGGCCCATTGTACCAACCCAAGATGATAGGTGAGGGTGATTGTGGAGCAATTGATCGAATGAAGATTGGCAGGGAAAATCGAAGTACTCGGGGAAAACCTGCCCCAGCGCCACTTTGTCCACCACAAATCCCACTTAAGCAAACCCGGGATCGAATTCGGGCCGCCGCGGTGGAAAGCCAGCGACTAACCGCTTGAGCTATAGAGCGGCCTTACTTACTTATTTGCCTACTTATGGAGCTGAGCCCTTCTTGAGAAGCCGCCAATTGTGCAGCCACTCAAGAATTTCCCAGAATTTTATGGAACCCGAAGGTTTATTACCGTGCTCACAAGAGCCCTCTACTGGTCCCTATACTTAGCCAGATCAATCTAATCCATACCATCACGTCCTATCTCTCTAAGATCCATTGTTAATATTGTCCACCCACCTACGCCTTGGTCTTCTCAGTGATATATCAAATATGGTACATAAAATCTCTGTTTTTTTATTAACCAGATTGACACCTGCCTTAGCTGTGATGGTGCTAATGCAATTGAGCCTCATAGAACATATGGGCTCAGGTCCACTTTGGGATAAAGGTAACAAACATCTGACCCAGTTATGCCAGGAGAATTGGTGGTCTGCTCTCCTGTACGTACAGAACTACGTCAGTGATTACAGAATGGTAAGAATCACGCAAAAATATGTTACAAATAGATTTCTGAAACAAAAATCTATAATATTTGAATGATCGTACAAATCTTCTATAGTAAATCCAGTTTATGTTTATTATATTTCGATCAGAGATCATGTAGTTATGGTTAGTGTCCGGCAGATGGCATTGATCATCAAACGGTCTCGATGCATCATTCGATGATACATGTTCTTAATTTTCCAGCTTAGAGAATGTTAGAAAAGTTGCTCATAGCTTAATAATTTTGGCTAATTCATCGTTTTTGTTTAATTATCTCGAAAAATATAAGCGTTATATATGAAGTATATTAGGAATAAAATGCCTGTTTCATCTTCTCTGAAAAGTTTGTTCCAAACATTAAATGAACTTTGTAGTGAGATATAAGTTGAGACATTTCATTAAGACTGTAATCTGGTTCGAGCCCTCATATTTAGTGCAAAGCTATGGACACAAAAACTGGCAAAATGACAGCTAAACACTTAGAAAATAATTACCTATATAACTAGGGGCTCCACTTCGCGAAATCACAGCTCATTCATAATGTTCAATACTGAAAGAAAGAAAGAAATACAGATTATAGGCCTGAATAACGTTTTATAAATAGGCATTTTTAATGTTCACTCTAGAAAACCGAGATTAACGGCCGTGGGGATCTGTTGCGCTGACCACGTGACACCATCTGTCCGCAAAAGTTGGCACTATCTTCGCCGACAAGTGGCGGTCGCTCGGTCGATATACTTCGTTTGCGGACTACAGACCACGGAGTTTTGTTTTAGGAGCATTTTTAATGAAAATGACTTCAGTTAATGACATTGAGACAATTGTTGGCAGACCCACCTGCCGGCAGAATTAATTACTACTGCAAACCAACACATGCACACTCATAGCATCAGGGAACACCATACTATTTTATTTATATAGATGAGATGAAAGCGATCAAAATATGCTATAGAGATTATTATATCTGAAATTAATCTTATACCTTATTATGCACTTCTTTTGTCAACCACATGATTCGGATTAATTAGCCATTCTCAGTTTATAATACATTCGTTTTCTGTTTGAATCTTATTTTCCCACAGTTGGCAGATATTACAAATTATATACCACCCTTATAAGTAAACAGAGATTAATATTTAACATACCTGTCACATTTAACATGCATTTTAACTTCCGTAGTGTGTTGGCCATAGCTGGTATCTATCGGTGGACATGCAACTTTTCTGGATATCCCCGCTGATATTGTTACCTCTAATTAAGTGGCCACGGAAATGGAACCTGCTACTTCTAGGCACCCTTATCATCGGAGGAATTATCATTTCTTACACGGTCAATTACGTGAATGAATTTCCAGCAGGAATCAATGCTGGAGTGTAAGTATATCTGCCGTGTTTCTGACGAAAATATTGAATTCTTTTGCAGGTTATTTGATGATGCTTTAACGGAGAGACTATATAGCTTCTCAACTTGGATAATAGATCATAACAAATTGCACTTCTCTGTTTCATACGATTCTGAGAATAACAAATAATATTTTTTTCTAAACAGCATTTACCATTTCCTTTTTACGATGGCTTTATAATACATGTTTCCTGTGAGGTACGAAATAAATACTTATACATTCAACAGAAATTCGTGCTTGACTCCTGTATGGAGGCGTGTTCGAATACCTCCGGCGACAAATGGGAGCCCGGTTCCTGGGGGTTTAACTAGGCCACCCTTTTACTGGGAGCCATATATACAGGGACCTGGCTCTCCACGTTGGGTGAGTCACGAATCTGAGACAGCAGACGTTCATGAGTCTGTCACGACTCGGAAGCAAAAATGACTGTGCTGACGAGGACAAGTTGTAATTTAACATACACAGAGAACTCTGTTACTCTGTGCACCAAACATTGGCCTACTGAGAAACACTGACCCCTCCCCTCAAAAAGGAGGTCCCCACTTCTAAACACATGTCTAGGAGAGAAAATAAATCTTGGTCATAGATTTAAATGTAACTGCTGCAAAGATTGACTGTACTGACGAGGACCAGCAGCAATTTAACCGACACATCGACCGACCGATCGTGCTTGAAACATTCATGTTTCGCCCAGCATTGATACTTCATAGCGTTATACTGACAGTTGCAGCTGGACTGCAGACATTTCCTCCTGCCTATCTAGCGACTGAAAATCTTGAAATATTATTTTTTTCTGTTCCTATAGAGGACCAGAGTGGGACAACAGAGATCGGTACGAATACATCACAACGCATGCGCGTTTCACTCCTTGGCTTATCGGGTTCGGGCTGGGATATCTGCTACATTGTTGCAAGGGCAGGAAACCACTGCTCACCGGGGTATGTCTTTCATAACGAGATACAATATGTCATTAGCCCACTACCAAGTGCACATGAAGTGTCTGGACAAGTTGATAGTTATTCAGCTAAGAAATTTCAGGAAGAATAATACCTTCAGATTTATAACACTCTGTATTTCTGTGTAGTTCACTGAACTTCCTGAAGAGCGCATTGCCTTCATCTTGACAACGGGAAAGTTAAAGAGAGAAGCAGCGATATGTAACCAGCAAAGACAGACACTATGTCTTACTGGTTTCTTAGCTTAACTTCCTACTCAAAAGATGGATGCAGGATATTCCATTGAAACTTCCGTGAGCTTCTACAGAAGAAAATTAAGAATGGATCCACTTGATACCTAAACCTTGCTCGTGTCTCTTTCGGCTTACATTTCGACTCTGAAGATGGAGGCAGGTACGTCCCTTCGAAATGTCTGTGAACTACACGGCGTCACATTACAGCAAATAATAGTCTTCATATTCACTCTTGTGAGACCTTCAAAGAGAACAAAAATATCTTTCTCCTAAGGATTACTGACAGAACTTGAGAACTAGCACAGTCGGTCGCCTTAGACGGAATTATTTTAGCCTCACCATTTTGTTAAGAAAACAATGATAGTTGTTGCTCTTTTATTCATATAAAGATAAAATGTAAAGCTATCCCTCTAATAAGCCGTGGAGGTCCATAGTGTTGTGAGACGTCGAGGCTCCCACTTCTTCTAGACAATCGCCTCACAGATGGCGGTGAGGTTGTCAGCCTTACGCGTCGGCCGCCCTTTACATCCAAGAAGATTCCTGGTACTCATTTCTGTTAGAGACTGAGTCGAGCCCAGGGCCATAGTACGTCTGGAAGGATTAGGTCAATTGAAGAAAATCCAGTGACTTAAACGGAAATCGAACCCACGACCTTCCGGCTCGCAGCATAGTGCTTCAGTGAAATACGCTACAGCATATCCGCATTTATTCATATAGTTACCATTAATTAGCAGTGCCCTAAACATGCTACCCAACTGTGTATGCAAATATATTTGCAGAAATAGGGCGCCAGTGGCGGTTTTCATCACAGTTTCTGGAAATTTCGTGAAATCATAAGGACGTTACGAGAAAGTTGAGATGGTGGTTGACTTCAGTCAGATTCCGTTTTGACTCTATATCCGCTCCTATGTTGCCCTCCACAATTCTTCTTCGTGTTTCAGTCGGACCATATATGCAGTCACGTCACAGTTCAGCCACGATTTAATGATCCCTCGTATCAGCACTCATCTCTGATCGCCTCGAAAATGCATTGGCCGACAGTCACGTGTTAGCCAGGCCCTTTGCTTCTTATGTTTCATCTGGGAGCATCTTTCCACCACTGAAATGTTCCTGGTTGAACTATTTGGAGCTGAAATGAAGTTCTGAAAAATGTTACACTCTTTGGCCTGAGTTGGGTGTCTGCTACTTTATATTTATCCAGGGTCATAAAACAAACAAACAAAAGCAAACTCCGTGGCCTGTAGTCTACAAGTGAAATATATGGACCTAGCGACAGCCACTTGTCGGCGAAGCTAGTGCCAAATTTGCGGATATAGGGTGTCACGTGGTCAGCGCAACGGTCCCCCACTGCAGATAATCTCGGTTTTCTAGACCGGGTCATGGATTATTAAATAATGGGCTGTAATAATTTTTTTGTAAAAAGTGCGTGTCTATAATACAGTGCGTTCAGTTAAGGAGGAAACTTCGCAACACCGCTGACCTGGCCCAACATTCCTCACACATTGCTACTGTAACTGCTGATAGCAGAATGAGACATTAGCGCTGATAAACGCGCGCCATTGCAGTTTCAGTTACAGTTACAGCAGCAATCTGTGAGGAATATTGGGCCCGGTCAACGGTGTTGCGAAGTTTCCTCCTTGATTGAACATTCTGTAGTTCTAAGTTGCGTCATTAACAGATTGTGACGTAGATCGAGGGATCATCTTTCGAAAGTGACCAGATTCTGCTCCAGACATACAACAGGAACTAGAATTCCCGTAATGGAGATCACGTTGAACACACTCAGGACTTTTTTTCCGTAAGGTTGCCTACTGGGGGTATGATGTAGCCACAGAAATGTTTCGAACAAAGTCGTGAAGTACATCTGGCTTTGTTTTCAGCTGCAAGTCTATACAGGGTGGATGCTGTCTGCGTTGGGATGCTTCAGTGCCATCTATTGGAGACTACCTTTCCAGCAACCAGACTACAAATACAATGTCTACATTTCCGCCATTTACGCCTGTCTGAATCGACCAATCTGGGCCTTTGCTGTGGGATGGGTCATCTACGCATGCGTCACAGGTTATGGAGGTATAAAAACAACGCAATAAGCGCTTTACTTTTTACAGTTGGTTGTTTAACGACGCAGAATGTCACGATATCTCAGTAGGTATTGCAACGTGCTACAGGCTGGAGAGTTGGTGTTCGATTCCCGGCAGAGGAAAGAGATTTTTATTTTTTTCATAATGACTAGACCGGCTCTAGAACCCACCCAACCTCTTATTCAATGGGTACCGGAGGTTCTTTCCCGGAGGTAAAGCGACAAGAGCGTGAAACTGACCACTCAGCCTCATCTAGTGCCGAGGTCAAGGATGGTGAGGTTATACGTTCACTCCCCCTTAAGTGTTTATGTCGTGGTGCTTAAATGTTTATGCACACGAATAACTTCACTTGATCTTGTTTAAAGACGCTGCCAGTATCGAGAGTGTGCACCATCGGATGATTGGATGATTAATGACTGTGAAGTAAATAACGGAACCAGAATCCACAGAGGATATATAGGTACATAGAGAAAACCTTCCCTTAGTGCCACTTTCTACTGCAGACTCCATGAGCTTTTATCAGGGATTGAACCCGAGCCACTGCTGTGAGAAGCCGGGTATTAACCGCCTGCATTATGGAACGTGTGGATTCTATACTGCATGGTGTTTACAAAATCATGGAACATTGTAATAAGCGTCCAGTAATCATATGAGAGGGTGGAGGAATTGTTAAATTAAATTCACAAAGCCTTAGGAAATCACTAAATTGTTACTAGAAAAGGTCTGGAATGAAAAACAGCATGACAAAATATGTTTACACCTAATAGAGCTGGCAATGTTTGTTAGTCACTGCTAATGATTGATATTCTTTAATGGCATTATCAGCCAATCAGCAGATTTAATCTGGGTCCCCTTTAAAATTAGATCACCCTGTATCAGTTTTGAAAATGTGTCCCTCAGCAACTCACTCGTAAATTTATATCAGTTTCTTCTGTAAACAAATTTCTTGCCTCTCTCTAGCTCAACCTTTCTGACGTTTCGTTTTTCAAAAGGGTTAAATATTACTTTTATTTTCATTCTTAAGGACCGGTAGACAAGCTCTTATCATGGGGAGCGTTCAAACCACTTGGGCGTCTCACGTACTGCATCTACCTTGTCCACTTTACGTACATATTGTATCGGCAGCTAACAACAAGGACACCTATTTACATAAATGGCATTAATCTGGTGAGTTCATACTCTTAGTAAATAATAGAACACTCAGTATATAAGAACTACGTACGTGTTAATCTTTTGCCACACTATTTACACAACGTACACAGATCGCTTACATACTTACTCATGGAGCTGAGCCTTTCTTGAAGAGCCGCCAATTCTGCAGCTACTCGAGAATTTCCCAGCATTTTATGGAACCTGAAGGTTAATTAACGTGTTCGCAAGAGCCCTCCACTGGTCCCTATCCTGAGACGAATCAATCCAATTCATAACTTACAATTCTATCTCTTTAAGATCCATTTTAATATGGCCCACCTACCTACACTTTGGTCTTCCCAGTGGTCTCTTTCCTTTCTTTCCTTACATTACGCAGTAATCATATCTTGAATGTCGTCTTAATGTTATTTGATTTGATTAATTTAGAAACGAAATAGAAAATTAGAATATTTTTAAAAATACGGTATTGATATCTAGGATTTAGCAATTGCAAATTACAGTTAATAATATCTGTTTATAGGTATTATATTTAAGCATCCTGTTGCACTCCATACGAGTGAGTGTTATACACCTGATGATGGCCGTCTGAGGCCGAAACATGTAGTGTAGGGAGCAAGATCAAAGACACAAAATATATTGTTTGCACTTGAGACGGAGTTTATATCATTTATCTGTTTATAGATGTCGCAGGTCGTCAGCGATGTATTTTTCTCCATTCTATTCGCCGCCTTGCTCTCCTTGGGTTTTGAGGTACCAGCACTCAATGTTGAGAAGGTTTTGTTGCGAGCAGGTGAGCTGAGCTACTTCCTTATAATTCAGTAAGCATGCATTTCCAAAAATAACTTTCGAGCACAGACAAGGAAGAGGATTTCAGATTTTCACTTTAATGCGGTCTTCCGTTTTATGACAACGTCTGTGGTAAGCTATTAATAACACTCTCTTCACTTTACCCTGAAAAAATAGTAAGTGCCTCCGAAAAGTTGGTAACGAATTACTAGATTATAAGGTATTATAAAAAAATTACAACAATGTTTATTATTAAGATATATTGTCTCTTGTGCATCACGCCACGAAACGTGCCGGAGAGTGGAGGCATAGCTCCATATATTCATAGACTCTGTAGTAGATAAAGAAACAAAATCTCGATCGAAACAAAAATAAAATTAAGAGAAGCTTAAATTTACCCCCTCAAAACAAATTAAATATAAAAAACAAAGGATAAAAATAGATTAAAAATTTAATGGTAAATTTGTCTCTGTACTTAACTAATTAAGCACTAGGCAATGAAGATGTATGGGGGAGTGGATGTATAGATCCAAGTATTCTCCACCTCGGCACTAGCTGGAGGTTAGTGTCAGCTTCACGCCCCGACCGCTTTACCCCTGGGGAAGAGACCCCCTTACCCATTTGATAGGAGATTTGGTGGAAATCAGAGCAGGTCTGGACGATATGGAGAAGTGAAATTTCTTGCCCCCCATCGGAACTCGAACTCCGACTTCTTGGTCGGCCAACCCGTAGCCAGTCGCTATACTGACTGCGTTATCCCGTCTCTCCGAACATACAGTGTAAATTCATTTATAGAAAAATTCAGTTTATCCTTAAGTGCCACTCATATTTTTCATTACAAAAATCATGCTACCTTTTGTTTCAGAGAGAGCAGATAAGTCAGACATCGTTCAGAGGAAATCTGTAGAAGACGGACGCATAAATCAGGGATTTGCAGCTAAGGATAATCGGTAATTCAAGAAATGAAAAGATAGGTATAAAATCTGAAGTACTTAAACTCTGTCTAAAATATCTTCGAATGTGCGTCATCGCAAGAATCTACATTATTTACACATGCAAATACTTTATTCATTTGGCGAAGTTTGATAATAAACTCTGCAAGCTATAAATGATTATCTCCGGAAACATCAGGAACTCTCCCGCCTTATGGTTGCCTATTCTAGATATGGCGTAACCTCAAAGATATTCCGGACGGAGACCACATGAGCAATTTACAAATGCATGAACGATTCGTGATGATTTGGGATTCCCCTGAGGGAAACTAGAAGAAATAAACTTTTATTTTACGAAAGAGTCAATACAGTAGGGCCCAGCCAGTTATATATAATGTATCTTTTATGTACACTGTATTCCATAGGGTTTATACTGTCTATTGTATTCACATATATTGTTGAACTTACAGAATAAACAGTATTTATTTATTATAGTTTACATATGGCATGTTATTTTTGTGAGTACTAACTTCAGGAATATGACGCCGTGTGATCTGGTGGATGTTTATGGATGTTTCACATAAACGTTAATATTCATAACATTAGGGAGAGTAAAAAAATAGGTCACAAATCGATATGAAACATGTAATATTCTAAGATGAAAAAAAAATTGTTTTCTCGAAATATCCTCCACCAACACTTGTTCTATCGCTTTACCGGTGTGACGAAACCCACAGTATAAAAGTCTTTTTGACTGTTGTCTCGGACACTTCCGCACCTCCGTTTCAACCTCTTCATAATCAGCGAAATTTCTGTTACACTCAGCTGCGAACCGCTTTACGTGACAAACACTTCTCGATGTAAATAACAAACATTTCTTCATAGATATCCTTTGCATTGAGTCTTTTTGTCCATAAAGACGAACAACAGAACATTGTTCTTCAGTAGCACACACTTCAAGCACAGTCGCCATTTTGACTACTGAAACCAGCCTCTGAACATGTACATGCGCTTCTGCTACCTAGACTTTCATGAACCTGGACTGTGCTGGTACCTAGTGATACACATAGAAAACCTATTACATCCATTAAGGCGCGTCCACATTACGCAAGCTCGTGCTCGTGTTCGCCAGGCTTGTGCTCGTAGGGAGACTCGTCTGGCTTTTACTTGTGCTTGTAAATCTTCGTCCACACTACTTCAGTTGCACGCCAGGCTTCGGCGCGTGAGGATCCGTATATTTACTCGTAGTGTGTATAGGCTGCAGTTGTATTTTAATTTATTGGCAATAGTTTTTAAATTTAAAATTTAAAATTTGCTTGTCACGTGACTTGTCATATCGTCCACATTACTCGCGAGCATGGCGAGTCACACGAGCACGAGTAATGTGGACGCGCCTTTACACCTGTTTTACTTCCACTTGTGGTCTATTTACTGACTCTCTCTCGCTTAGTGGGGGGTGAAGTCCAACTGGGTCCACTCGGCACGGCAGCCACTGATTGGCTTATTATTCCTGCCCCGGGTGATTATGATGATGGAAAGGTTGGTGGAATGAAGATTGCCAGGGAAAACCGAAGTACTCGGAGAAAACCCGCCCCAGCGCCACTTTGTCCACCACAAATCCCACTTGACCAGACTCGGGATCGAACCCTGGCCGCCGCGGTGGGAAGCCAGCGACTAACCGCTTGAGCTATGGCGCGGCCGCCTCTCCCTCACCTTAGACTTACGAGTCTGTTAGAAGTTTACAAACGTCGCAAGGAACGTCCTTCAGCTCTACCAGACTACACGGTGACGGATCCCAGAAAGTAGAATTCTTTCTAGTCACCACGTTTATAACTCCAAACCAAAAATTACTTTTAATATGCCAAACAATTAATGTTTACGCTTTGCTTTAGGACCCTAAGAGTTCTCAGTTTTATAATCTGTTGCTTTTGATATAGGGTAGATGAACAGGTGAGGATATGGAAGGGGACGGTCTTGGTATAAATAGAGGTACATACCAGAAATTTTCTGGAATGCCTGAAGAAAATTACAAAATTTTAGGATAGCCGGAGTCCTGCCAGATATTCGTATCGAAAACTGACAAGAGGAGAGAGAATTTTCGACTAACATATACAAATCCAGTTAATGGAATCGACCTAAGTCACTGCTTGTTCTATTGAAAATGGCCAGGTATAAAAATGCTTGTACAACATAATCTTCTATCGAAGCTAGATTTGCAGTTATGATATTAATTAATATATGTGGGAATGGGGCAGTTGATAGCAACAGATATTTGAATATTTTATTACATGAAAATATATGCTACAGAAAAGTCTGAAGGATTCACGCTCTATTACATTATTACTTTTGTAATCGGATAATCTATGCAAATAATTGTATAATATTGTACAATTGTATGAGAATATTTGATACGTAATATTTTTTTAAAGAGATCAAAACATGAAAAATATTGTCAGTATGTAAATATATAGTACTTATATTCTACCATCAATAAACGATTTAAAGTACTTTTAATCAAACTCATTGTCCTTTTTGGCTTCACCCCATTACACCAGATGATAAATATTTAGAGGCAATTTTTACCCGTAAAAGCTACACTGTAATATAAAATTTAAGTTACAACACTGCACACAACCTAAAAAGTACTAAACAATGCATCTTAAAACACGAAGTCTACGAGTTCACTTAAATTAAAAATATTAATCATGCATTATTAATAACTTGATATTAGGTCTCGTTAAAATATTTTATTAAAAAGTAAAGTTGAAAACTAACACACATATATACAATTCAATGTGTTTTAAAACTATCCTTAATATTTACTATAGGATTCTGACGTTGGTGTATAACACACTGATATGTTGGGATTTTGGACTTTATCCATCGTCCTGGTTTTTAAGATAACAAATAAAAACACGACGTTTCGGAAACTGGATCTGTTTCCGTCCTCAGGTGAAGGAAAAACACCTATTCAGTTGGGTCCCTTAGAACGATGGATAAAGTCCAAAATCCCAACATATCAGTATCCTTAATATTCTTATTAAATCCGAAGAAATAAAGAATATCAGCAACATTTTTTAGAATATTTGCGTCTTTATTTATTAATACTTCTAGGAACATTCAGAATCAATATTTTTGGTTTCCTGAAGGTTGCAATTTAAATATTAATCCTACTAGAAAAGAAATACACTCGATTACGGTAGACACATGTATACATATGAATTTATTATGATTGAATCGAGTAGATCGTTGTACTACTCGGTAGACAGATCTAGAATTCATCTTGTTAAGTAGCGCCTGAACTCTGCTCTGTAGGTAAATGTAATCCTACAGAAGTGTTCCTACTTTTTCAACAGACTTGTTACTTGGAAATTTTTAAATTTCAGAACAACATATAAATATTAGAATCCACTGTAGTAATTGGGTTCTGCGAGTCCTGAAGTGAACAGAGGGAGACAAATTCGAGGATGACTGCCTCTACCTAAATACAAGACAACAAAAACACGGAATAAACACATACATATACAAAACATCCATGTCTTCTTTGGGATTCGATCCCAAGATCCCGGCTTCCGAGCGAGCGAAGACAGTGCATGCCTTAGACCGCTCAGCTACCGTGACCGGCAATGTATAAGAATAATATATAAGAATCCAGTTCCTACCTCACAGGAAACAGATCCGAACCCACGATCGCGGCTTCCGAGGGAGCGAAGACAGTTCATGCCTTAGACCGCTACCTACCTACAGGAAACAGATCCGAACCCACGATCCCGGTTTCCGAGCGAGCGAAGACAGTTCATGCCTTAGACCGCTCGGCTACCGTGACCGGCAATGTATAAGAATAATATATAAGAATTCAGTTCGTACCTCACAGGAAACAGATCCGAACCCACGATCCCGGTTTCCGAGCGAGCGAAGACAGTTCATGCCTTAGCCTGCTTGGCTACCGTGACCAGCATATGAGTTTCAACAGTTTGAAAATATATGTTCTGTTCCTCTGGTTTACGAAAACATGAAGTCTAACAGGTGGTTATTATTGTTCTGGAGAAACTTGATGAATCCATTATCAGAGCACTCTAAAGACTGAATCAGTTTGTGTCTCCGAAAAATTTAAGAGAATTTCTCTTCTCTTACTTTTCTGTCGTCCGCTATTCTGAGGGTAAAGAGGAATGTTCTCTTTATATGAAAACTTCTTTAATACCGATAATAGAATGAAATTTTATCTAAACATTTAAATATCATTTCCTAACTCAGAAAAGTAAATACAAGCTAAACTGGTTAATGCCATATACTTAATATGCCCCGGGTATTCTGAAAATTGTACTAAAATATCTGTTCCGGCAATGTAAATGAGGCAAAAGTAAATTTCTCCCTCTACTTCATTAATTAAACACAGCTCCATGAAGACATATGGTAGAGTGGAAGTATAGCTCCACGCATTCTTATCCTGTGCAATAGATGGAGGTGAGTGGTCAGTTTAATGCCTTTGTTGCTCTACCACCAGAAGTATAGCCGGAGGCTATATGAGAGGGTTTCCAGAGCCGGTCTGGACGTTATGGATAAGAAAAGTTCTCTTGCTTGTACTGAGAATCCAACTCCGCATCCTCGGTCGTTCAGCTCATAGCCTAGTACCAATAACAACTGAGCTATCCGGGATCACGTTTTGTTATGCTTACATTTCCAAAATTTTCTGGATTATTTACTTAATTTTAAGAATGGAGACACATACTCACAGGACTCAAGACAGATATACCCTTCCTTCTGAAGTCGTAAAGAAAATGTCCGACTGCAATTCCAACAGTCCACAGCGCATTGGGCCACGCCATAGCTCAAGCGGTTAGCAGCTGGCTTCCCACCGCGGCGGCCCTGGTTCGATCCCAACTTACTATGTGAACCAAAATCACCTTACTGGAGATTTCGTCAAGGTATTCTCTTCTGTATGACGTAACTTCAGGGAGGTTTTAGACTGACAATAAACCTTCTCTTTGAGTGTGAGTGTGCCACAGAATGAATATTACAAATATATTGTCTCGCTACAGCCAATACTGCAATATCCGTTGCATTTAAATATACTTGATTAACCTTGTAGTCTCTTCATACAGAAATGCAGCTTCAGTGCGCCTTGCCACGTCTTGGACCTGCAATTAGAGCAACAGTGTTATATTGTGTGTGTACCTGAGAACGGAGGTGAGGGGGGAGGCGTGATTTTGATCCAGTCTTACAAAATAAGAGAGACTGACAATTACACCGGAATACCTTGTAGCATTTAATGAAGCTCTGTTACTGTAATGAAAGGTTATGTGCAGGCAAATATATAGAAGGTGCTTATTAAGCCCTTATTTGTTGAAATAAATTTAGGATATTTAATAAAATAATATAGCATGTCACGGTAGCTGAGCGTTCTGAGGCATAAACTGTTTTCGCTTGATGGGAAGCCGGAATCGTGGGCACGAATCCCACTCAAGGCATGGATGTTTGGTCTGTTTGTGTTGTCCTGTATTTAGGTAGAGGCCTTGCGACGGGCTGATCTCTCATCCAAGGAGTCCTACCGTCTGTAAAATGATCATGAAACTGAAAATCAGAGGCCAGATCCTAAAGGGGCTGTAGAGTCAGTGAAAAAAATAAAATAGTATAACCAGAGGTATAGTCTTCATTTTATTTTTCACTTCTTCAGTTGGATTCGCAACATCACATGTGCTTTTATATTCGTTATCCTTGGAGAGAAGATAGCGTAGAGATTGAGTTGGTTTTGCATAGTTTTGTGACACTGCGCATTATGTAATAACTGATTACTGCATGTACAGTCCCTTTCACAAGGGCACTCGTGTACATTTTTATTTTACCAAATGCAAAATTAATATTTTGCCAATCTCATTTTCCCAATTGAGCTGGACCTTTATATAAATGTTATCCTATAGTCCTTATTTGTGTTCTCTTCTGTCGTTAATCGTATTTTTTACGGTAATTACTCATTCTTTTTAGACAATTTTTATATAAAAATTTTATCTTCGAATTTCATTTGTCCACGTACCAATCAGGAGTATGCATTTAACAGGCCGCGTCATAGCACAAACGGTTAGTCGCTGACGTCCCACCGCGGCTGCCCGGGTTCGATCCCGGGTCTGGTCAAGTGGGATTTGTGGTGGGCAAAGTTGCGCTGGGGAAGGTTTTCTCCGAGTACTTCGGTTTCCCCTGCCAATATCCATTCCACCAATTGCTCCACAATCACCCTCACCTATCATCTGGGGCTGGTACAATAGGCCAGAAGTGGCCTCAGTACAAGGCACTTAGTCCCACCCCACCAGCAATAAAAGAAATGTATTTTACATCCAATTTTCAATCATTAACGGTGCCTTGAAAATTGCTACTGCTATTACAATGAATTAGGTAGGACTGTACAGTATTTGTGAGTGAGTTTATACTCACGTTCTGAAATACTACATCATGATTTCGTAAATTTCATTATATGAAGACAATATGTTTCAACATATAAAGTGCATACGAGATAAATTTAATTTTGAATGGAAGAATGAAAGATGTTTATAATTTATTATAAGTGTTACGCACTTGATACATTAAGTGAAAAGTGAGGTATAGAATATATCCTTTTTAGTTAACGCAGCAATAGTGAGACGTAGCAGTAAGAGAAGGAAGTACTTGCATGTAAACAGGTGACACAAGGGATTTTAACCAACATGTTGCCACCATGTTATCATTCCCAAACGTAGAAGTTTATTAGTAAAAAGAAGCTGTGTTGTCTAGTCTTAGAATTTACCTCAAACAAAACCACAAAATAAGGTTTACAGTTGTATTTTTAGATAAATATTTCTGAAAAAAAAAATCCAAGGTTTGTTTAAATTGTCGGTGTTATTCTTTTTACAAATAAATTTCGGTGGTTGGCACCATTGATGTGACAAACGACATTTAATATTTTGGGGTCATTTGTTAATATTTAAAGAAGAAAGAATATCCACTGGAATATTAGGTTATGTATAACTACACACATTGTTAACTTTAATATAAATGAAATAAAATGCAATTTATTTGACGAAAATAATGTAGGTTCTCAGGATAGTGTGGGCACGTTATAGCCTAGTTGGTTTGAGGCAGTATGTTACAAGCCGGAAAGTCTGAGGTTCGATTCCCGATGAAGTCACTGGATTTTTCAATTAATCTAAACCTTTCAGCCGACCTATTGCCCTGGGGTCGACTTAGCCTCTAACATAAATTAGTTCTAGGAATATTCTGGGGGTTAAAGTGCGGCCGGCGAGTAAGTTTGACAACTTCATCGCCATCTGTGATTCGACTCTCTTCAAAATGTGGAAGCCTCGACGTCTCACAACCTTATGGGCCTCCAAGGCCTGTTACAGGGATAGCTTTCCCTTATTTTTTTCACTAGTAATAAACTGTGACTGCGTTTGGCACAACTGTAGGGAAGTTGAAGTCAGTGGTTGCTGAAGGTTGGCTATATAATTATAGATTACAATTCTGAGCCGAATTTTCATTTAGTGTTGTTTTAATTGCTTTCAAGAAGAAAGGGGGTGATTTCAATAATTTTACACATAAATTCATGAGAATCTCATATGAATTATAACAAGATGCTTGTCTAGTCCATTGCTTACCGTCACCCATAAGAATGCTCTTAATTTCTTGCATTGGTAAGTCGAAGAGCAGAGTTACCAGAGTGGAAACAACCAACACCGTCAGAATTTCTGCCATGTTAAGCTGAAGCATGAAATATATGTCAGTTTAAGTGGACAATAACATAATTTTCACTCTGCTAAAAACATTTTATTTTTAAGCTGTAACATGCTGAAGATTGTCTCCTTGGTTATAACGTCGTGTAGTTCAGAGAGAGTCCGACGTTTCGGAGAAAAATGTATCCTAAATCTTCAGGGTCGAATAAGAAACCAAAAAAAGGACGAAGGCGGGGGACAAGGTAACACAAAATAATTGCTGTTGGTTTATTGTTTGGCTTCCTTTTCAACCACGAATTTGGAAGTGATATGTCCCTCCTAAACGTCAGATACTCTCCGAACAACACGTCATTGCAACCCGTAAGTCATGGTTGCGAGAATATCAAATCCAGTCCGTTTACACTGCCCATACGAACTGATGGAAAGCTTGTTATACCTGTATACCTGAAGAGCCGGAATAGAACAATTACATGAACAGGAATAAAGAGGAATTAATGGTGACATAATCTAAACTTTACAAAATAATTGTCTATATCCGTTCAAATTCATTACAGGATATGTTTTGGGTCACGTGGTAGCGTAGTTGACTGAGGCAGTATGTTACAACTCGGGAGGTCGCGGGGTTTGATTCTCGATGCTGTCAATGAATTTTTTCAATTCACCTAATCCTTCCACCAACACTATGATCTTGGGTGGACTCAGCCCCTAACAGAAATGAGTACTAGGAATTTTCCTCGGGGTAAAGAGAGGCCGGTGCTTAATGCTGACCTCACCGCCATCGGTGAGTCTATTGTCTAGAAAATGTAAGGGCTTCCATCTAGTGTCGAGGTCAAGAATGGCTCATATTTCTTTATGGCATGGTGCTTAATTAAGCACAGGGACAACTTTACTTTTATTTATATAAAATCACAAATTATACATATACGCAATATAACTGATTCACATTCACATGCGAATACTCACACTTGCGAATATGCTGAATTTTTCTGAGGTCCTGATGCTGCCGACATTGTAGAAAAACACAGCAAATTGTGTGAGGTATACAGAGTAAGAGATTCGGCTGAAGATGACCAGGCACTTAGAGGAAAGCAACTCGTTTAGAAGGCCTGTGGATTAAGAGAATTAATTTCATCTTATATATAGTCATCATTATGTTTTAAAGGGTTGTTAGATTATTATAATATTACAGCTGCATATACCGACTACTGAATTATTCATTAGGCTGGGAGTAATTTACAATTTTGGGTACCGGAATTTGATTCCCATGGTCATGCGCCCCAACATCCCGCTTAAACTTCTGCTCCTATAATATATACTTCCTCTATTATATCGCCGAATGTACAGCTTGTGGAAAAACGAGATAGGCGAATAAATAACTGCCGTTTCTGGGCAACGGACACGAACCCAACAATAGAACGTTGCTTCCATGTGATCAGTTTCGAAGAGTTATCAACAGGACGGTTGGAATAATGAGTTCAGTTGTCAGTTGAGAGTTAAGTTCTGTATGGGAGGCTGTGAGGAAAGGAGTTGAGCTGAAGAATATCCACTGTTAGAAACCGTTGTCAGGGAACGGTTGGTGAAAACAAAGCAGGCTGGAAAAGGCTTAGTTGGTGCTGTGGTATTTTGTAAATTGCGGACATTTGCGATAACGTTTTAAGTCCTTGTAATTCGTAGTGGTGTGTATAAGTGGTAAATAAATACATTCACTAATCCAAACCCCGTATATAATCACCCCTAAATCGTGACAATACATTGATACTTCAATCATAAACATATTATTATTACCTTAATTAATTACCGATCAACTATATTTATTTAAAATTAAATCTCGTCTTCTCTTACTACCTCTAACATTCGTCTTTCAGTTTAAATGTACACATATGCTAATGTCTGCAGCTTTATTCGTATATTCTACTAATCTCCTGATACCTATTTCTGTGTCGATGTTCCTAAAGCACTTTCCGAAATGTTTTCCTTCTAAATCTTCGTCCCCACACAACCCGAAATGTGAATTTAATTTTCTCCTCTGCTACACATGAGACTAATATCCCGTTCATTGCGTTTTCTAGCTTTACGGCTGGGGCCACACGAGCGCACAAAATGCGTCCGTTGTAACGAACGTCCGTTGTAGAAATAAACAAAGGAGGCGAATGCTACGCTTTCTTCTGGCTCGATTCCAGACAAAAAACTACTCACCGCATTCTGCAACTGTGTGGTGTCTTCAGCAACGTCCGTCATAAAGTACGTTCGTTGCAACGGACGTACTTTGTGCGCTCGCGTGGCCCCAGCCTAAGTCTACAAACCTATATTTTCACCATAATGTTCCCTTTCTGGCTTCCCATGTAAATATCTCTCTACACACCTCGATCTCCGGGTTGCTTTTCAAACAGTTTAAACCATGAAATAAATGAAGCTGAGATCCTGGATAAATTAATCTCATATATTACCATATGAATTGTTGTTAAATTTAACAACATGCTACCGAAATGAACTTTCTTTTAAAAACAATATTATATTTGTAGAAACCAGCAGTTCCAGAAATATTTGTGACTGCGGCTACAGAAATAGCAAGCAGAAAAATATCTGATTAACCCAACGGATAAAGACCGCGCCATAGCTGAAGCGGTTAGTCTCTGGCTTCCAACTGCGGGGGCCCGGGTTCGATCCCGGGGTCTGTTCAGGTGGGATTTGGGTGGATAAAGTGGCGCTGGGGTGGGTTTTCTCCGAGCATTTCGGTTTCCCTTGCCAATTTTCATTCCACAAAAATTTCCACCATCATAATCACCCGGGGCAGGTACAATAGGCTAATCAGTGGCCGAAGTGTCAACTGGACCCAGTTAGACTCCACCCCCCACTAAGGGAAAAAAAGCGAACCCAACAGGTAACACGTAAACTAGAGGTAACAAAAGAGTATGGGCGAGGAAATCTCTTTCTAAAGAAACTGAGAAGAAACAGAACATATTATAATAGTGATAGTGATATTAATAACTGCATATGACTAAGCGAAAGTACATTGGGATATTTTTGAGTAGTGTTAACAAAATATGACCGGCTCTGTGGTCTAGTGGTCAGAGTTCCTCGTTACAGATCCAGAGGTCCGGGTTCGATTCCCGGCGCTACCAGATTTTTTTTAAGGGGTAGTGGGTCTGGAACGGGGTCCACTCAGCCTCGTGAAGATAATTGAGGAACTCCGTTCTAGAAACTTCACAAAAGTTGGCACTAACTTCGCCGACAAGTTGCGGTGGCTCGGTCGGTACAGTTCTCTTGTGGACTAAAACCACGGAGTTTTTTTTTAATAAAATAATGGGGGGAATCAGCCTGCGTTGGTACTAAATTTTCTACTAAAGGCGCGCCTGGGATATTTCGACACTGTAACCCTCTACACTATATAGCGTCGAATTGTAGGATATATAATTGGAAAGGATTCATAAGGAACTGGTCATGGCCTGTTCGAGTTACTGGAGGGACTGGCCGGAACTATGGAGAAATTCTGTAAGAATAGTCGGTGATTCGACTGAGATTCAAACTGAGCCTCTCCCGAATAGAAATCAAGAGCGTTACATGCATTCCAACTTGCTTGATACTGTCATGATTTAGGGGGTTGTGAGTGACTTACAGACGGGGGTTCGATTAAATGATCGGATTTACTGACACTTTAATCACGCAACTTGGGCCTACAGGCAATGCAGCGCTATTGCTGATCTAAACACATCACTGTTCACCGTTTTACATGCACTAGGGTTCGTAGTTTTCACTAGTCGTGTCCTGGCAACGGATTTATAACAGTCTCACTGTCACTGCAATTAAAATATTAAGTCTTTTCACAGCCCAATTCCTCTTTTGCCATTATTCTGCAACTGCCAACTGAATTCAACTCCTCTGCTCCCAAGCTCACGTCGTGGCAGGCTGGCGTCTTGACACTCGACTGACTCTTCTCAGCTGAACTCCTCTTCATAACCACTTTGAACGGACCATGCAGAAAAAAAACAGCCTCTCTATTATCGGGAAGGCCTGTTTACAGCGCCGTTGCATACCAACGGAAGTTACTCGATTGTTGTTTGCATATTCGTTGCCGCGGGAATATGTTTACCGAGCCGTTACCTAGCAATGAATGTCTATTCTGGCTTCTCTATTCCGACTTTCATGCGTCATGTCACAATACTCTGTTAAGGTATATTTAAATTTAGTTCCTCTGAAAGTGAATAAGTGACGGCAGAAGGCATTTAAGTTGGAGTTCTAGAAGGCGATAATAGACGAGAGAAAGACCCACACTGGGCCGTAGAGCCAAGGAGGAGAAGACGAAGGAGTGGAATGATGATGGTAAAGTTTATTTGTTGTATGCTTACCTCCATGACCTGTGAAGCACGCCCATATTAGCCAGCTAAGTGCAAGTGAAGAAATTATCGGGGAGTAAGCTGCATAATTCGATGCATCGTTCACACTATATCGATAATCTCTTAGTCTCAGATCAGAGTGTGAGAACGAGCACAGATAGACGAAGTAGGTTGCCAGCAACCAGCCTGCCCACACAATCATCTGAAAGAAACAGATGAAAAGACATTTTTACCCTGAAGATGTAAATAATATTTTCTTCCGAAAAGTCAGTAAACATCTACCAAATTTCAGAGCAGGTAGATTCTAAATAATTCTGACGATGATGGGTTTTTGGACTTTGCCCACCGTTCGGTATTGTAAAAAATTGAGAACACAACGTTTCGAAAAATGGATGTTTCCGTCGACAGGTGAAGGGGGAGCAACCAACTCTGTTGCTTCACTTAGAAAGAGCTAACCTCAATCACTGATTCACGTTCCGAAGCCCCGTGCTTTCTAGTTTCTGGAATACCGAGAAATGAACAGAATCCAAAAACACAGTAATTCTGAGAACAAAGCAATTTGTCTATCAGTAACAATCTAGATTTGCATTCAAAAGGGTCTCGGTTCGAATGTAGGTCTGCGCACCGGCTATCCTGAGATTTCTTCGTGATTTTCCTCGTGATTTTCCTCAGTGCCTCCAGGTAAAGGCAGGAATAATTCCTCGATAAGGACACAGCCTCTTTCTTGCAAATCCTTTTCAGTTCATCATTTATAGATCATCCTGACTTGTATGGATGCAGACAGTGTAGCAAAATATTCCACAACCACACTTCACGGCGTCACACCGTAGAAGATTTTAATCTTCACAGTGACCGCCATGACAACCTCAGATTTCTGTAACCTGATGATTTATGCGTAGAAGTACTTGCCTTCGGAATTTGAGTGTTCCTGTCAGTCCTGTGCAACAAGTACCCCAGACTGACGCCCAGTAGGTAAGGGGTTGCTCTATGAAGCGAGCGGGTATACGTGAGGTTTGCCGTCTGGTACAACTGCTTCACCCTGTCAACAGACATTGGTATTGAAGCTTCTGAGGCTTCCGTGTCTAGTATTTTGGTCTTTTGTGCTCTGACACCGTGTAGTCTTGCAGGTAGATATCTACCGGAAGATGATTCATAGAAGTAATAAGAAAAATACTAGTCTATCCTGAAAATGTAAGCTATATATGTGCCCGAAACTTCTGTGGACACCTACAAGACCCTAATTTTGTCACATCCCAGAGAGTAATATTCTTGTAAAACATATGTCTGTGTGGAAATATAGCTCATCTATTCTCAAGTTCAGCACAAAATGAAAGTGAGTGGTCATCTTCACGATCCGGTCGCTGTACCCCAAAGGAAAATTCTGTCGATATTAATTGGATAGGAGACTGGCTGAGCCCGAGAATCGGTCTGGACGTTATGTAGAAGAGAAAATGTTTTTCTCCAACCAAGAAACAAATCCTGATTCATCGCTTGACCAACTCGTAGCTAAATCACTATTTTGACTGAGCTACCCCAGCAACTTCTGAAACTGTAATAACAACTCACGTAATGCCGTGAAAGATGGCGAGTGAGAGTTGATTGCGGTAAGTAGCTACGTAGCGTAGAAGTGTAGAGAGGGCGTGGAGGCACAGCAACAGCAACACACCGCAGGCAGGCCAGTGCCACAAGAGAGTGACCAGTAACGGTGACAGGAGCGACAGCTGCATGTCTAGGGCCAGCTGATGAGTGTGGGTAGCGCACTGCAACATTAAAGTTGTAGTATTTAGAGTTGAGGGTCCAGGAGAAGCTGCGAAGTGGATGGGCAGTTTCATTCGTGAAAGTTGAGGGGTGTCTCTGCATTCTGTGCGAGCGGATGTCTCAAGAGCATTCTTCCTTGTACAGTCAAGTTAAAAAGTTTTGACTCTTGGAGTCGTATTTAAGTGTATTATTCTTTTTTACAGTATTAATATTTTATTTTTATTCGTTGATTTTCTTTTTTTGTTTTTTTATATTTGTACATCTTTTCTGTCTCCCTTAACATGCCACCTACACGAAGTAAATTGAATGGAAAAGTGTTGCATTCACAATCAAGAGAAATATGATCCTACCACTCAAACCGAAATACCTTTCTATTAAACAGATGGAATCTTTGCAGAACACAATCACAATATTTTACGACTCCCTCAGTATCACCCAGAACTCAACCCAATTGAGTTAATATGGGCCACCGTAAGAAATTGGGTTGCTCAAAACAATACCACATTTAAGATGGATGACTTCATTAAACTGGCAGACCAAAATTTGGCTTCCATAACTGCAGAAGAATGGCAACGTAGGTGCCAACATGTAAGGAACATTGAGCACAATTAATGGCACGGGAAGGCCTTTTGGACGAAGGACGGGAGTTCGTCTTCCATGTTGGCGGTGATAGTGATGACAGTTCAGATGATAGCTCCGATTCATCTGGTGGTGACGAGGAAGGACAGACATGTGGAGATGATATCTGTGCGGACGTTGCCGGTGTTGTCCATTTAGAATAGACCCGCCAAAACTATGCAACACAATGAATTAAGAAGTTATTTCCTTTTGAGAACGTCTGTACTGCATTCCCCTCCACACTTGGCATGCTGGAGCTCTCCCCGCTCTCCTACTCCGCGTCGGAGGACTGTCAGTTCTAAGCACAACTGTACGTGACGATTGTGAGTGTGGAGTGGAGGTGGACCTCCATTTATTCTTAAATTCTGCACTTGACGGAGGTGAGTGCCGGGCTTGTGTTCCTACCGCTACGGTAAATGGGTAAATGTAACACTGTTCCTTTTGCTTAATTAATTAATCACTACGCCATAAGGCGTATGGGAGAGTGGATGTATAGATCCACGTTTTCTTGCCCTCTGCAAGTAAGTGGTCAGTTTCACTCTCCGGGCACTTTATTCCCGGGGAAAGAACCCCCCGCACCCTTTGGATAGGAGGCTGGGTGGACCCCAGACCGGTCTGTACGACGTGGAGAAGACAAAAATATTGCCCCTGCTGGGACTTGAACTCCGACCCTTCGGTAGTTCAATCGGTAGCCAGTCGACACACTGACTACACTATTCTGGTTCCCTGAAAGCTATGAAAAACAAAAAGAAAAATCTTACCCCTGCTGGGAATCGAACCCATGTCGTTATGTCCTTAGCCAAGTCACTGTAGAGACCGAGCTGCCTCTACTCCTCGCCGCTCACATCACTCATCAAATTATGATACTTTCCATCTCCTTCCAGATCTTTGCCAATTCATTTTTCACTGAGCATCCTTTCATTGAATGCTATTAATTCGAACTAAAAACACTACCATTAAACAAACACTAAATAAATATATTATTGATGGAAATATGACAATGAGATTTTTTGTACCTAAGAACTATTTCTTCCTCCAGTTTTCATTCAAAAATTGCCCCACATTCATCCACCATCGAGGGCTGATGAGATAGGCCTATTCGAACCTTCAGTAGCAAGGGATGCTCTAGTGCCGAGGTAAAGAATTGTGGAGCTATACCTCCACTCCTCCACATGTCTTCATGCTATAGTGCTTAATTAATTAAGCACAGAGACAAATTTACCTTTTTAGTTCCAAGGGACAGAGCGTCGTCCCTACTAGTAGGAAGCGTTGGCCGTTGGTAACTTCCTCGCTTTGCGATGAAACGATTTTCGGATCAGACATGAAGCTCCCTACTTAAAGACAGGAGATATGATAATGTGCTGCCTTACCAGAGCTATTGCCCACTTCAGGGGATGGTAGATGAATATAGAGCAATGGTGAAAGATGATTAGCAAGGGAAAACCGAAAAAACTTGAAGAGAACCTACTCCAGCGTCAATTTGTCTAATATGAATCTGTCACCGAGGGTTGCGTACAGCTTCTCAGGAAAACCATATGTCTTTTTTTTTTGTATCTTACCATTTGCTCAAATGGGAAGAAATTCTGGATGTACAGGATGTTCCTCCAAAAGCTCTCCTTGCAGAAGTCTGCATTCCTCTTGACCGCCAAATTCCATTGTGGTCCTGCTCCAAGATGCTCCAGTACGTAAGCGTAGAAGAGAACCACGGCCAACAGAGCAGGTGTTAGCCTGAGAGGAAAACTCACTAAGCATTCTTAGGGACAAACGGAAACGTCCCAGCATTCCTTTGATTCTCAGCCTTCTGTTTATTCTCCTTCCATCTCTACCTCAATCCCGTCCAGACGCCTTCGAGAATTCCTGTCTCCCTCCATAGTTCCCTTCCACCATTTTCACCTTCCACTCTACTTCTTACCCTCTCTTCATCCCTCATTCTCTCTCTTCGTTCAACTCTATTTACCCCTTATTTTTCTTCATTCTTTTCCTCCTTTTCCTCTGTCCTCACGCCCAACATTCCTCGCCCATTCCACCCTTCCTTTCTTCCATTCTAAGCTTCTACTCTTCCTCTTCCTCCCTCATTTTTTCCCTTCATTCATACCTATTTACCACCAATTCTTCCTCACTTCTTTCTCCCAAACCATCCATTCATTATACTCCTGTAGATCTATTCATTTAAAAAGTATGGGGTGTTCTTGATGTCGGCACTAGTCGGTGGTGAGTGGTCAGTTTGACGCTCAGGCTGCTTTACCCCTGGGGAAGGATCTCCCTGTACCCACTGGACAAGAAGCTGGGTGGACCCCAGAACCGATTTGGACGATGTGGAAAGCAGAAAAATCTTCCACCTACTGGCAGTCGAACTCCGACCCCTCGGCCGTCCAGCCCTGTAGCCAATCGCTATACCGACTGAGGTATCCCACCACCCTACCTACTGCAATGTCCATCACGCTATGTACCTTGGAAACCAGTAAAATGGCACTAAACATTAAGCGCCGTGACTACAACTTTCCATTCTGATTTTCTTTAAAGCCATTTGAGTGACGTGTCTGCAGAGGTCTCACCTGATGAACCTCGCTACGTATTTCTTGATCCAGTCGATATGTTTCTTCCGCTGCATCTCCTTACTCATGTTGAATGAGGTAAGAACGCCACTCATCAACAAGAAGGAGTCAGTGAACACTAGGGACGTTCGCAACATGGTTGCCCAGCCTTCGTTGGAGACCTGCAAGAGGTTGCTAATCAGAGATAGTAAGAGTCTTCTAGGATCGCAAGAACTTGCTGCTGTAACACTATACGGCAACATATCACAGCAGATATGATAATGATGAGGACTCAAGATAGCACTCATCTGAGAACAGGTGAGATTTGTCTGATACCGTGGGTATAATTACTTGCCCCGACTCAGTAGCTTCGAACTGCAGTAAGATAACCAATAATGAATTGGAAAGGATGTGGAAGGGAACGTCAAGGTAAAAGTGAAGTTGTCCCTGAGCTTAATTAATTAAGCACAAAAAAAAGAAAAAGAAAAACAAACTCCGTGATTTTAGTCCGCAAGCGAACTATACCGACCGAGTGACCGCCGCTTGTCGGAGAAGTTTAGTGTCAACTTTTGAGGATAGAGGGTGCCTCGTGGTCAGCGCAATGAATCTCCACGGCAGTTAATTTCAGTTTTCTAGACCGGAGCCGCTATTTCCTTGAAATAGCTCTTTAATTATCATCACGAGGCTGAGTAGACACCGTTCCAGACCCACTACTTCTCAGGAAAAAACTGGTAGCGAACCTGGACTTCTAGATCTGTAGCTAGGAACTCTGACCACTAGCCCACAGAGGCGGTCAAATTAATTAAGCACTACACCATAAAAACTAATTTGGGAAAGGAGGCATAGCTCCACCTCAGCAGTAGGTGGAGGTGAGTGGTCACAATCACATACCTGTCACTTTAACCCCGGGGAAAAGAGCATCCCAGCATCTATTTTACATGAGGCTGGATGGGCCCCAGAGTCGGTCTGGGAGCTGTGAAGTAAAACTGCTTGCCCCTCCTGAGAACTAAACCCTGGCCGGTCAGGCCATAGCCCTTTTATGTACCGACTGAGTTGTGTCTGTCACCAAAGAAAACAGTTGCGACATAATTATGAGGTGTATTCCTGATATTTGCCTAAAGTAACTGAAGTAAGTCCGAGAAACTTCACTCAGAATACCCGGTGGGCCAGCCGAAGTTCGAAACCGGAACCTTATAGCCCTATAGCCTTACAGTTTCAGACAGACTGCATGCCAGAGACTGATACATAAACCCAATTATGGAAAATACTAACTTCTGAGGTGTAACTTCGTGTAGTCTATCAGGAGGTGCATTTATACCAGACTACACGGCATCACATCCTACAAGAGAACACAGTTCTTAGTCACTGCTGTGATAACCTCAAATCCAATATTTTCCGTTCTGATGGAGTTGTTCCAGTTGTGTAGAATATGTCCTTCTATACTTTATCAGTCATGTGGCTACGTGGAAACAGCTCTATTTAAATTCACTAAGATGGGTCACCAAACAGATTGGTCTAGAGGAAAGGCTCGAAAATTTTATTGTGGAGGTGTTCGTGTCGAATCTCGGCCAGGAAACCAGCTAGTTTGTCTGAGGTTTTACGTGCTTTTCTTGAGTCCCTGCAAGGAAATGTTCGGATAGTACCGCGTATAGGCAGGAGCTTCAACCTTCCAAATCATCATCATTCATTCTACCATTCGATGCTATATAGAATGTCCCAGGAAGAAAGGTAAATATTCTGGGAGGTACCTCGGTACCCATTGGATGAGAGACTGGGTGGGCCCTGGGTGGGCCCCAGGGAAAGAAAAGAACCTGATTTATTTTTTCTGATTACCTCAGTTAGCTCCACTCTGTTGGAGTACGGGCTGAAGGCCACCGCGATTACTTTATGGGTCAGATACACTGTCATGGTGCACAGTGCCCGAACCCCGTAAATGCAGTTAATGTCGCCTTCCGCGGGCAACTCCGCAAGTAACTCGCGCATGTTCTTGTGCACAGAGAAGGCCATGACTGCTCTCTCCAAAGGACCTGCGCAGAAGAGAGTAAAGTGTAGACAAGAGTATTCTAGTCCGAAATGTGACGCCGTGTGATCAATTAGAATTCTACTGACATTTTAGGGGAATGTACCGACCACATCTTCAGGGTAGAGGACTGAACCTAGATACTACCAGCGAGAAGAATGAAGAAAAATGGCGACAATAGGTTCCTCCGTAACTTCGATGAATTTCTGTCGGACAACGAAGCGTTATATCTCACAAATTTTGATTTTTCATAATCACAGATGTAAGAACATAAAACTCAATACATTACTTTCCGTTTTCACATAAGTAGAGACAAAAGTAGCTATCTCGAAATTATTTCCGGTAACATTCATTATCCAATATGTTTTAGACAGATAAAAACTAACTAACAAACTAAACTAACTTTCTTATTTATTTCGTGGAGACGCGTCCTTCTTAGAAGCCCACAGTTGCGCAACCATCCAAGAAATTCCCATTGTTTTACGGTACCCTAATGTTCTTTACCGTGTTAACAAGGGCTTATTATTAGACTGTATACTCAGCCATATTAATCCAATTACCGTATTTACGCATGTATAGGCCGCGTACGTGTATAGGCCGCAGCACAATTTTCAGACAGAAATTATAGAAAAAATAAATTTCTTGGAATATTATTTCAGGAGTAGAACACCCTGTGTTACTAATTATGAATATATTTTTTTTAAATGAAGTGTGATTTCGAATATTTCGAATATAAGCCGCACCCCAGTTTTCCTCTTGAATTTTTGGCAAAAAAATGTGCGGCCTATACATGCGTAAATACGGTAATATCTCCTGTCTTATTTCTCTAAGATCCATTTTAATACTACAGAAAGTAAACATTTTAAAGTCTTCTTTATATATTTTACAAAATAAATCAGGTTTATGAGATCACTTTGCTGTCTGTCTATCCATCTGTGTCTATGCCCTTAATTTTTCTTTTTCTATGCGGTCCGTGTCGTATCAAAGGAAAGGAGGTCAATGGATCCTGCCAGAAATTCTTGTTTGATATTTACGTGTAACTGAAGAAGTTATCTAGAACGCATGAGAGTTCACGCTGACTTACCTTCTTCCTTCTGATGCTGCGCTACGCGTCTTGCATCTCTGAACGTTGCTACTGTAGCTACAGACACAACCGCTATGAAGAACACTCTGAAACGTAAATAAAAATAAACTACGTGGTTTAAGACCGCACGTGAACTATACCGACTGAGCGACCGCCGCTTGTCAGTGAAGTTAGTGTCAACTATGTTGTAGAGAGGGTGTCGCGTTGTCAGCGCAATGAAACCTCACGGTCGTTAATCTCGGTTTTCTAGACCGGAGCCGCTATTTTCTTCAAATAGCTCCTCAATCATCCTCACGAGGCTGAGTGGACCCCGTTCCAGACCCTCTACTTCTCAGAAAATCTGGTAGCCGCGGGAATCGAACCCGGGATCTCTGGATCTGTAGTCAGGAACTCTGACCACTAGACCACAGAGGCGGTCCACTCTGAAACGTACAGAGAAATAATGTACAGTTATGCCTGGTCAGTGCAAATGGACTTTATGAATTTAGAATTATTTTCTGTAGCAATGAGTCTTTTCAGAAATAATCTAGGACATCTTGGGTGTAATATTCAGTTTATGATCTTCCTGGCTATACAGTTTGATCAACTGATGAATTTTACAGAGTCATGTTAGACACCTACACAGCGAAACTTTGTGGTGGGACTTAGCTAACCAGAGACCGCCTCTCTGGTCTAGTGGTCAGACTTCCTGGCTACCAAAGGTCCGGGTTCGATTCCTGAAGCTACAAGATTTTCTGAGAGGTAGTGGGTCTGGAACGTGGTCCACTCAGCCTCGTGAGGTTAATTAAGGAGTTATTTCAAGGAAATAGCGGCTCCGGTCTAGAAAACCAATATTAAAGACCGTGGGGATTCGTTGCACTAACCACGTGACACTCTCTATCCGCAAATTTGGCACTATCTTCGCCGACAAGCGGTGGTCGTTCGATTGGTACAATTCGATTACGGACTATAGGCTACGGAGTTCTTAGTTAACTACTGATTTGAATGGATCTCTTTCCGCGCAGTCACATTACTAATCAGTGGTTCGTTAAGAAGCGTCACGAGAATTTAAGGGCCATGTAGACTGCAGGTTCTCGGCTCAGACTTTGTTCAGGACACCGCCTATCATGAATTTTCTGTGTCCCTGCAGGAAAATACCGGGATGATAATTCCATTAGACCACGACCACTTCATTTCAAATTCTTACCAATTTATCTATCATCTTACCGTTCAACGCTATATATTATGGAGACCAATGTAAAATGAAGCGCATGCGCAAACAGAGTATGAAACTCACAGAGTGAGAATAGTGGCTGTTTCCAGAGGTTTTCCTGTCTCGTGTTTGACGTAACACATGTCGGGATCGACGTGAACGTCAAAGATGAGACCCGTGGTTTCATTGTAACCGTGGAGCGCCTCCTCCAGGGCTTGGTGCACGTCTGAAGGCGAACAGGAAGCCGGAACACAAACTGCCCATGTGATTGTCGTGAAACGTGGGATGAAATGTCCTGGCTGCAAGAGGCAAATTGTACCACGTTAGGTTGTTTATGTTCTGGTCACCGTGGTGCCATATTTCGAAGACAACGTTATGAGGACCCAAAACTAAAGAACTAGTTTTTGAATATTTTTTCTTTGAGTAAACAAAGAAGATGAAAAATGACTAATCGTCAGTCCGAAAGACTTTTATACGTTATAGTCAAAGGAGCCTTGCCCTTGGCAGTACCTGGGGATTCAATCGGTGTGTTCTGAATGAAACTTACGTCCCTGTAAGAACTCTTGATGAATGCATAGGCCTGAGAAAGTTGAACGGCCTGTTGTAGGGATTCGATCTCATTGGTATTCAGGTTTGTTGACTCCACATCCACCGATGCCAAGCAGTATTTACCGTCTATACGGGGCTCATTTTGTGACGTCACGTTGAGACACTGATCGAAGTCTCCCAGCTGATTAACATTACCCCTCAGTATACCAGAGGGCAGTTTGGCAGATGCATCGTACACTTGAAAAAAATATTTTTATTTGTAAGTAGCGATATGTCCCTCAAAAGGTATTTGTGTGAAAAGGAATGTTACATCATCTCCGTGTCAGTTGCAACAAGTTCACGGGAAAGCCGATGGAGGCGCGACCTTCCGGCTTGTAGCATCAACTACGCTACCGTGTGCCCCATTAGGAGGAAAGTATTGTACAATATTCTGATAGAGTTTGGAATAAACCATGGAGCTATTTAAGGTGATTAAAATGTGTTTAAACGAAACGTATAGTAAAGTCCGTATAGGTAAACAGTTGCCCGAGTTTCCTCTCGAGAATCGTATAAGAAAAGGAGATGCTTTACCTCCAGTCATTTTCAACTTTGCTTTAGAATATACCATTAGAAAGGTCCAGGAAAACCAGGTAGGACTGAAATTAAACGGGACATATCAGCTGTTGGTCTATGCCGATGATGTGAATCTACTGGGTGATAATATAGATATTGTAAAGAAAAACACACAAATTTTAATTTACGCAAGTAAAGAGGTTGGTCTAGAAGTAAACACGGAAAACTAAGTACCGTATTTACGCATGTATAGGCCGCGTGCATGTATAGGTCGCAGCACAATTTTCAGGCAGAAATTATAGAGAAAATAATTTTCTTGGAATATTATTTCAGGAGTAGAACATCCTGTATTACTAATTATGAATATATATTTTTTTAAATGAAGTGTGATTTCGAATATTTCGAATATAAGCCGCGCCCCAGTTTTCCTCTTGAATTTTTGGCAAAAAATGTGCGGCCTATACATGCGTAAATACGGTATATGTTGCTATCTCGTCACCAAAATGCAGGGCAAAATCATGACATAAAGATTGGAAACAGATGTTTTGAAAATGTGGCACAGTACAGAAATTTGGGAACGACGATAAAAAAATCAAAACCTAATTTATGAGGAAATTAAGAGGAGATTGAACTCGGGCAATGCTTGCTACCATTCTGCCCAGAACCTTTTGTCTTCTCGTTTGCTGTCCAAAAACATAAAAATTGGAATATACAAAATTATAACTTTGCCTCTGGTTCTGTATAGGTTTGAAACTTAGTCTCTGACATTAATAGAGGAACATTAGATTGAGGGTGTTTAAGAACAGGGTGTTGAAGAGAATATTTGGACCGAAGAGAGATGAAGTGACAGGAGGTTGGAGGAAACTGCATAATGAGGAGCTTCATAACTTGTACTCTTCTCCAAGTATAATTAGAATGATCAAGTCAGGCAGGATGAGGTGGGAAGGGCATGTAGCGCGAATGGGGGAGAAGGGAATGCATATAGGATATTAGTGGGAAGGCCGGAAGGAAAGAGACCACTGGGAAGACCAAGACGTAAGTGGGTGGACAATATTAAAATGGATCTTAGAGAGATAGGATGGAGTGGTGTGGGTTGGATTGATCTGGCTTAGGATAGGGACCATTGGATGGCTCTTGTGAACACGGTAATGAATCTTTTAGTTCCATAAAATGCTGGGAAATTCTTGAGTAGCTGCAGATTTGGCTTCTCCTCAAGGAGGGCTCAGCTCCCTTAGTAAGTAAGTAAATAAATCTTATACTTAGTGGATAAAATTAAGGATTTTTTATTGCTAGTGGGGTGGGACTAAGTCCCTTGTACTGCGGCCACTTCTGGCCTATTGTACCAGCTCCAGATGATAGGTGAGGGTGATTGTGGAGCAATTGGTGGAATGAAGATTGGCAGGGGAAACCGAAGTACTCGGAGAGAACCTGCCCCAGCGCAACTTGGTTCACCACAAATCCCACTGGACCAGACCCCCATTGCCGAGTTTTCTACAATCATCCACTCATTCAACTGTACATTTTCTGGAAACGAAAGCTAAACACATTGCCTTCAGGTATGCGTATACACTGGTTGATGTTCGATGCATGAATTGTTATTTCGAATGTTCGTGAAGGGATCTAGACGCTTGCCACTCTGATTACTATGAACAGTGAACAGTATCTAATTAAGACTAGTAAGTAGGTCGTGTGAATTGGAATACAAGCCACATGGAATTATCTGTAGGTCGGAATTGACACGGTTCTCAGCATGCGACACACTACAGGCCCGTATAGGGAATGGCCGTTATATCGAGCGTGCTTGAAACATAAACTTAACCCTCGCTAATCCTGTTACAGTTAATCCGGATTTCCTTTAATCCGGATTGAAATATGAAAAATGGAAAAAGCTCTTCACAGTTGACTACATATTTTAAAAGACACTCAGCATTTAGGATGGTAGATGAGTCCCTTGTCTGTTCAGAGAAGACTTGAGACAGTTTCTTCAAACCTGCATTGTTACGTTCAAAAACAATCATAACTTCTATGTCTTCTATCGATGAATAGATTTATCGTACTTTTCTAATTCCTAAAGAATGGCTCTACAGGTATATATTTTTATTTATTTTCATCAACATTACTTATATCATTATATTTTTCATTTATTTCTTTTTCTAAGTTTTATATTTATTTTAGGGCTACATTTTGCTTCACTAATCCGGATTATCGCTTAACCCTGACGACCTCCCCTTCCAAACAATCCGGATTAACGGGGGTTTACTTTATCTAAAATAAAATATACTAAATGAGAAATATTGACCTCTTTCTTTTTGAGATTAATTATCCTGTCGTGAGCTACCGTGTCCGAAAATACACATAGATAACTTGGCACTTGGATAATCGTGACCTCATTCAAACTTTCCTTCATGTGTCTCTTTCTTTCTAGTTTGTTTTTAGACCGGCAGCGCGAACTAGAGCGCAGCACAGTCGGTCAGGTTTAGAGTACAAATCAAGATCATCACTATTTCCACCTTAGCTGTCAAGACCACGTATTGAAACGTCGCCTCATTGAACTTAAATATATGATTGTGACTGACTTTCTGACATTTACAGAATGGGACATGAATAAAAATGTAATCAGTGGAAATGAAATGCTTAAGGATGAACTAGCCTAGGCAGCAGCTTTCTATATAATAAAATTTTATGACGTTGCGTGAGATTATTGTAACAGAGTGCGACGATAGATCGCTGTACGCGCTAGTTACATGTAGAACTAATTTTGTCGACAGGTAGATATACCAACAATAATCTCTCTGTCACCATTAATAGAAATTCACATTTAAAGGCATATTTAAAAGAGTATTCTATACAGAATTATTAAATTATTAAATTAAATTATTAAATTATTGTCGGGGGTTGAATGGTCTACAAACGGAAACCCTGACAACGATTTAGAATAATTTTGTATTTCTTTTTACGTTTGGTATTTTATTTCCATTATTAGTACACGGGGCCCCCTCTTAAGGGTGATAATATTGTGATAGAATTCAAAATATAAACCGTGGAGAATGGAATAAACACAGGTAAATTTCGATAAACCCTCTCCATACTCGTAGAATGACCGCTGAAATAGAGGGCGTTCAATCAAGGAGGAAACTTCGCAACACCGCTGACCGGGCCCAACATTCCTCACAGATTGCTGCTGTAACTGTAACTGTAACGGCGCGCGTTTATCAGCGCTAATGACTCATTCTGCTATCGGCAGTCAGACCATAGCCTGTAGTGCTGAATGGTAAATGATTTTTTTTTCCTTGGCACTACAGCCCCAGTGGGCCTAGGCCTACCTCCATGAACTTCTCCGTTCACTTCGGTTTTTCTAGATCTTACACATTCGGTAGGACTCCTTAGGTGGGTGATCAGCTGTCGCAAGGCCTCTACCTGTACACAAACACAGAAAAACGCACACATACAAACTAAACATCCATGGCCTGAGTGGGATTCGAACCCACGATCCCGATTTCCAAGCGAGCGAAGACAGTACATGCCTTAGACCGCTCGGCTACCCTGACCGGCATGGTAAATGATTACTGAATATTAAATTATAAATGATGTGGGAAGTGGTTGTGACCAACTGTTTCGTATTTGGGAGGTGCTGGATTCAAATCTTCGCTCGGAGACCAGAAGGCCTGACTGAGGAACTTTGGAGCTTTCCTCCATCCCTAGCCAGAATAGTACCTCCATTTAGCTCACTACCGTTTCCTATCAAATACTTTCTAATTCATTATTGAATGTTCAGCCTTTCGACGCTACGCAGTCTGAGGTACAAAGAACGTCGTTAAGGAACGAGGAATGAAATAAAGGCTAAAAGTAAAGAACTAACAACCTAGAGATGTGTCCTCATTGAGAAGCCGCCAGTTGCTCAGCTCCTCAAGAATTTCCCAGCATTCTATGGAACCCGAAGGTTTATTACTGTGTTCACAAGAGCCTTCTACTGGTCCCTGTCCTGAGCCTTATCAATCCAGTCCATTCCGCCCTATCCTATCTTTGTAACGTCAATTTTAATACAGGGTCAGGCTCTTCCTAGTGGTCTCTTCCCCTCTGACCCCAGATGATAGATGAGGGTGATTGTGGAGCAATTGGTGGAATGAAGATTGGCAGTGGAAACCGAAGTACTCAGAGAAAACTCGCCCCAGCGCCTTTGTCCACAACAAATTCCACTTGACCAGACCAGGGATCGAACCCGGGCCACTGCGATGGGAAGGCAGTGACTAACCGCTTGAGCTATGGCGCGGCCTAAGTAAGTAAGTAAGTAAGTAAGTAAGTAAGTAAGTAAGTAAGTAAGTAAGCAGGGGCGAATTCGTGTTGAGCTCTGGCAAACAAGCGGCATCTTTGGCTCCATACAGACACACGGTGACACTGTTCTGGCAAGGGCGAGGTTCTATTAATAGATATGCATAGCAAGAATTAATTGGACCCAATTGTAGTTGGTCACATGAAGCAAGAAGGACATAGCCGTTTAAAATAGATTTGATAATCTTAGAAATGTTAGTGGCGAAAGTTTGCTAACGTGTATTATCTTTGACATGTCTGTCTGTCTCTTCGCTAGTCCGAACGCAAGAACTCGGGAACCGTTTAATGGATTTTTGTGAAATTAGATACTGAATTATTTTACTATTCTCTTTCGATATAACCCCATATTTTGTTAAAATCTAAAGAAAAACTAGTGACATTTTACATGAAGATCTACTCTTTGCTTTGTAGAGAGTTATTTTTTTTATTGTTAGTGGGGTGGGACTAAGTCCCTTGTACTGCGGCCACTTCTGGCCTATTGTACCAGCCCCAGACGATAGGTGAGGGTGATTGTGGAGCAACTGGTGAAATTAAGATTGGCCGGGGAAAGAGAAGTACTCGGAGAAAACCTGCCCCAGCGCCACTTTGTCCACCACAAATCCCACTTGACCAGACCATGGATCGAACCCGGGCCGCCGAGGTGGAAAGCTAGCGAATAACAGCTTGAGCTATGGCACGGCCCTTGTAGAGAGTTAAAACATATATTATATGTTTAAGAGCGGAGACCGGGGCTAGTTGATACAATTTTTATGAGTTCTTTGTGAGAATATCATACATATGTATGGAGATAATATACTTTTACTGTAAGTCTTCCTTATTTAGAAAGAGAGGTTTCGAACCGCCAGAATTATATGTACGTCAGATAAAGACCTATTGATTTTAGAAGATTGTTAGAATGAATAATTGCATTATCAATGGTTTATTAGATAAATTACGTACATAGAATAAGTTCCAATACTGTGAAAATGGTGATATAATAATTGGGAAATGCCGGGAACTGAGGAGCTACACCTTCTGGATTATCAGGTCGTTTGCTACGTTGAAAGTTAACAGACCTTTCGAAAAACATCTTTCTCCGAAACGGCAGTTGAATTTCAGTGGACTACACGGTGTTTTATCCCAGAAGACAGAATCCTTCATAACCACCGATGCGAGAACCTCAAACCTTATGTTTGAACCTATTGTATGCTTCATCTTAACTTTTAAACATGAAACAGAAGATGAAAGAATAACTTCACTACGAAACATTAGTAGTTATGTATGATAAAACGCGTGAAAGAAAATGTTTTAATATTCTCAGTTTATTTAAAAATATTTTAAGTTTCTAAATTTCTGTAGCGTTGAACGGTAGGGTTGTTAGTGACGAATTAATAGGAAAAGGCATGGAAGAAAATATAATAACCTAAAATATTATTAGGTCGTTTGCTTTTAAGGACTGAAGAAAATCACGAAATACAACGATAATTATAGGCCGTGTCTCGGCCGAGATTCAAACCAAAAACCTCCAGAATAAGAGTCAGAAGTTTTACTGATGTTATATTTTAGCGTCCTGTTGCACTGATTTAAGTCCATGATTTATTTAATCCGTCTTGCAGTGCATACACTCATTTAACTCCTTCTCTCCCTCGCACTACATGTTTCGGCATAATAATGCCATCTTCAGGTGCTTACTTAACCACGTCAAACCAGTTCATTGCATGCCATGTTCACACATTAAAATAACTAAAATATGTATCTATCATATACATTGTTTTACTGCTTGAGCCAGCTTGCTCGGTTTAATAGGGTAATTAATCAGGAAGTCGATGGTGAAGTGTTTTCAATTAGTGATTATTGATATATGTAAGGGGTGCGAGTACTCGAAATTAAGAAGTTTAATAAGTAATTAATATAAAAATAAAGCATAGAAAATTAAAAAGTACGCTTGTTGGAAAAATAGTGAAGATTTTTGTTGCGTCTGTGGCGACTAGGTTTTCCTTTCACAGAATTATGGGGGTATTGGACATCTTCCATCGTCCGGAATTTTAGGTAATAGAGGACACGACGTTTCGGAAACTGGATCTGTTTCCGTCTTCAGGTGAGAAAGGAAGGCCCAAGTGAGTAGATGTCTTCCTTCCTCACCTGAAGACGAAAATAGATCCAGTTTCCGAAACGTCGTGTCCTCTATTACCTAAAATTCCGGACGCTGGAAAAAGTCCCAAAACAAAGTAATTCTGTGTGTCATCCACCATCGTCAGAACCCTTTAGAATCTATACGTTTTCCTCTGTTTGACAAAGTAACTATTAGGACACAGAATGAAAGAAATGTTGAGCATCGTTGGGTTAACAGACCATTAGTTGCAGTTGTCATTGGAAGAACTTAGTGGTTACTCACTCTGTAGCGCCCACAGTTTGTGTCTCTTCAGTTCGCGCACGAAGATTCTGCTGTGCTCCCTGCAAACCTCGTTTCTGATCTGATCAGACGTGGGAGCCAGTACAGGAAGGATGTTTAATATTCTCTGGAATGACGTATTCTTCGTCCTGTTGCTAGGTCTTGTCTTGGCCAAGACTGGGGTCGATGTGCACGTCTGTTGCTGGCTGGCCCACGGTTCATCATTCAAGTTACCTCTGTCTGTTTAGTTAAAAGGGAACATCACTATAAGAGTTAATATTGTAATCTAAGAGAGTTGAATATTATGGGATATGACGCCGTATATTATGGTAAAATTTGAAAGACTTATAATAAATATACTTCTTGCATCTTCAAGACAAAAGAATATTCAAAGCAAATAACCAACAAGAAACACGTAAGATGCGAGGTTCTCAGAGCGGTGTTTATAAAGTTTAGTGTTTTCTGGGGTGTAACACGGTGTAGTCCATTGAAAGTCAAGGGACGATTCGGGAGAACATGTCGCTTCCATCTTCAGGGTTGAAGAAAAATCCAAGCAAGAAACCAGAATGAAGCAGGTAACAAGTAAAGATATTTTATGCTGATTTCATTCTTGACTTGTTCTTCGACCCTGAAGATGGGGACGACATGTTCCTCCGAAATATCGGTTGATTTTCAAGTGGTTACAAGGCGTTATATCCCCTGATATAGAGTTCTTCAAGAAACAAATATATTTATTGGTATAAAATTTGATGTTTTCACAGCGGCGACTATGAAGAATGCCGTCTGTTGGGATGTGCCGCCGTGTAGATATTGTGCAAACCGACTGCCTGCAGCCACCTGCTCACGCTGGTTCCTCGTTAGCGGATTTTTCTATCCTGAAGATGGAGGCGATACGTTCCTCCGAAGCGTTGGTTCGCACAAGATCTACACGGCGTCACATTCCAGAAGACAACATTCTTCTTACTTATTGTTGATCACTTTTTTGGCTTACTCTATGATCTTGAAGACTAGGGCTTTATGTTGCACCGAAAATTCGGTTTACTTATACGAGAATAAGTGGAGTCGCATCCCACAATATTTTATTCTGTCTAGTTAGTTAGTGTTAGCAGTGATGCAGCAGTATACATAATCCGCTCACCCCTGGTCTCACTAGGAACAGACAATTCCGTTTTCCGTTGAAAACTCTGATGACTAAACTCATTAGCGCTGCTTCGTTGCAAAACAACGGATTCACAGGTTCCGTCGCAGGAGAACTGGTTACGTAATGGAACCTCATCACCGTTCGACAATAGGTTCCCGAGCAACTCTTGGATTGGCTCTTCCAGACTCGTTGGTTCTACGAAATTCTTTGCAGTTTCTTCCGCACGAACTATTAAAAATATGGCATAACAAGCAGTGATTCTGTAGGGATGAAATGAGTACACAAATCTTCTCATGGTTGCCACAACTTTGCGCTACAAACGTCCCTAAGTCACTGTTGCACAAAGCAAACTACTTTTCATGAGATTTTTTAAAAAAAAAGGAGATACTTATATTACTCTCGACAGTAAATAAAACATTGACTGGATAAGAACCTTCACTGACGTTTTACTGATTCTAGCGATGACTCTCAGTTTATCCTCATTCAGATGAACGCGGTATCGGTTTAGCGCATGCGCCACTCTATTTACAGTCGTTATACTGCCAAGTGATTATAGCTCCTTTCTGGTTCCTTATATTGGCCGAGTATCAAGACCTTTTACCTGAAGACTGAATGTCAAGGAAGATATTTAACTTACGCAAGTCAGTTACTGTGCCAAATTAAACACGTAACACGGTTAGGTCGGTGTAGATGTACTAAGGGCGTTCCGTATATAATGCCTCATATTTTTTTAAAGAAAACTACAACAGATACAGAAATCATAATAACACAGTTAAATAGAGCAAGATTTCAGCTGCTTACAGCTATTTTTACACATAATCACCACCATTCGTTATGCACTTTTGCTAGCGATGAACAAGAGCCTGTATGCCGCGCCCGTAAAAGTCTGTGCCAGCAGAGGCTAGCCACTTTCTTACAGCTGCAATGACAGCATCGTTGTCTGGAAAATGTTGCCCACGTAGTCAGTCTTTCATAGGCCCAAAGAGATGGAAGTCTGAAGGTGATAAATCGGGGCTATAAGGTGGATGTGGTAGGACAGTCCAGCCAAACTTTGCAATGTGCGCGGTGGTCGCGAAACTGGTAGGGCTCTAGCGTTATCGTGTTGCAAGCGAAAGGTTGTCTCCTTCTCTGGCCTGACTCGGGAAATACGGGCTTTCAGCTTAGTCAGCATCGTCTTGTAGCGTTAAGAATTGACAGCCCCTGGTCGTTATCTGCTGATCTGTTCGGATGAGACGCTGTTCATTGTGAGGAGTGGCAGCTGAGCAGGGATGCCCATGGCGTGGCTTGTCGTGCACTTCACTTTCGCCACTGTTGAAACGCACTACCCACCGAATCACTGTGCTGACATCCACTGTATTGTCTCC